ATAATGATGATAATGATGATGGTGATGGTGATGATGATGGGGATGATGATGATGACGATGGGGATGATGGGGATGATGTGGTTGTGTTGGTTGAGTGTACCATGATGCTGATGTGGGGAGTGACAATTTGTGATGACGGTGGTGGTGATGATGATGATGATGGTGATGAAGTGAATTGTGATGGTGATTAAGCAGTTCTTGGCCTATTGTGTGGTCGAATGCTGTGTCAGTGATTGCATTGAGTCTCACTGGTTAAGTGTATTTGTAGATTTAAGTCTTGGTGTTAAGTGGAGACGGTCCTTCTCAGACATGCACCGGGGTGATGAGTGTTGTTTAATAGGGACACATAGGGACACATGACACCTGTATCGTTTACAGGTAAGGTCAGAAGTCGATGTTTGAAGACGAAGGATGAGGTCATTTATCACCCGCTGGTGGTGAAGAAGGTCATGTCTTGATGAGACGGCTCCAGGCTTTGCTTGACCTTTCCTTCGTCACTGAAAATGCACTGTTGACGAGGATGGGGATATTGTCAGTTATTAAGAGGATGCCTGGCATACTGTCATGTTCCTTCTGCTGGATGTAATGCCTCGATGATTGTCGTGTTCTTCAGTAATACATAACAAGTCACTACGTCTTGATACACGTCTCCATGTAATACATAACAAGTCACTACGTCTTCAGTGTGTTAATGTGAGGCCAGTCACTGTAGTGCGACCACATGTTTGTATGATAGAGCATATCCTGACTGCGGGATGTGATGTGCTAATGACACTAGTGCAGTCTTGATGTTACACCTTTACAGTTGAATGTATACTAAAACAGTCACTGACAGACACAAAATGACACCATATGATACAGTATGACAGAACGATGGGAGGAATATTCACTGACAGACATTATGACACAATATGACACAATATGACTTAGAACAGTGGGAGGAATATTCACTGACAAAGACAAAATGACACAATATGACACAGTATGACAGAACGATGGGAGGAATATTCACTGACAAAGACAAAATGACACAATATGACATAGAACAATGGGAGGAACATTCACTGACAGACACAAAATGACACAATATGACACACAGACACAATGGTAGGAACATGTGACTACTGTGAACATCATGTCACAGGAACAGAAGTCAGTAGCTGTAAACGCCTCCATCCCCCTCTCCACCCCCCCCCTGTGTGTGTCACTGCCTGGTGGTGACAGGACTATCTCTGTCCACCATCTATATGGGGTGGTCGTCAGCTTGTGTTGGAATGTAAAACCTTCGAAGCATTCTAGAATACTTTAATTTTCCACCTGAACAAATTTACGACATTCATGCATTGATTGAAAGATAAATAAGTTGGGAGGAAAACCTCTGAATATGGAGGGTGAGAGTGTAAGAAGGAACCGACGGACATAACAAGTCACTACGTCTCGATACACGTCTCCCTATAATACATAACAGTAGGGAGTAGGGCCTTATTCCTTTGTTTTCGGGAGATTAGTTTAATAAACTGGAGAAGCCTGTGAGTAAATGATGGTCATTCAATGTGTTCATAGTTTATTTAATTCAATAATGGCGGCAATGTTTGATGTTGAATTGAAGCAAATTGGTGAGAAGCCATTTTCCCAGGCGTTCATAATTCTATATACACCGATACACAAAATGGCGTCTCGTGGGTGATGGCAACATAATGATCATTATGAGGTTAACAAAGACAACAGAAACAGCTTCCCACATTAGGGGAGTGGATATATACCTGTTATGTTAAATCTTTATTAGAAATTATAATGACTTTGTTAATATAATTACAACATTTTTGCTGTTATATTATTGAATATCTGCAAGTACCGGTACAGTCTTGCAGTCCGACTTCGCGGTGTGTCGTTGCCTTTCACTGGCTTATCTACGGGTCATATCATATTCTTTCATATTTCAATGGTCAAGTTAATACCTCGGCTTATCTACGGGGTCGACTTATCTGCGGCCATACACGGTATTCATTTATGTAACGTAACTGTTACAGATACACACATTGCTCAATATTGCTAGTTATGTGTTCTCATCGAGAGGCTGTGCTAGATCGTGATAAGAAGGTCGTGATGTGACAACTCGTGAATACTGAAGGAGGTCATATATGACCATGCCGTGACGAGCAACACGACATTGACCACGCCGTGACAAGCAACATGACATTGACCACGCCATGACGAGCAACACGACATTGACCACGCCATGACGAGCAACACGACATTGACCACGCCATGACGAGCAACACGACATTGACCACGCCATGACAAGCAACACGACATTGACCACGCCATGACAAGCAACATGACATTGACCACGCCATGACAAGCAACATGACATTGACCACGCCATGACGAGCAACACGACATTGACCACGCCATGACGAGCAACACGACATTGACCACGCCATGACAAGCAACACGACATTGACCACGCCATGACGAGCAACATGACATTGACCACGCCATGACAAGCAACACGACATTGACCATGCCATGACAAGCAACATGACATTGACCACGCCATGACAAGCAACATGACATTGACCACGCCATGACGAGCAACACGACATTGACCACGCCATGACGAGCAACACGACATTGACCACGCCATGACAAGCAACACGACATTGACCACGCCATGACAAGCAACATGACATTGACCACGCCATGACGAGCAACATGACATTGACCACGCCATGACGAGCAACACGACATTGACCACGCCATGACAAGCAACACGACATTGACCACGCCATGACAAGCAACATGACATTGACCACGCCATGACAAGCAACATGACATTGACCACGCCATGACGAGCAACACGACATTGACCATGCCGTGACACGACATTGACCACGCCGTGACAAGCAACATGACATTGACCACGCCGTGACAAGCAACATGACATTGACCACGCCGTGACAAGCAACATGACATTGACCACGCCGTGACACAACATTGACCACGCTGTGACAAGCAACATGACATTGACCACGCCGTGACAAGCAACATGACATTGACCACGCCATGACAAGCAACATGACATTGACCACGCCATGACGAGCAACACGACATTGACCATGCCGTGACACGACATTGACCACGCCGTGACAAGCAACATGACATTGACCACGCCGTGACAAGCAACATGACATTGACCACGCCGTGACAAGCAACATGACATTGACCACGCCGTGACACAACATTGACCACGCTGTGACAAGCAACATGACATTGACCACGCCGTGACAAGCAACATGACATTGACCACGCCGTGACAAGCAACATGACATTGACCACGCCGTGACAAGCAACATGACATTGACCACGCCGTGACAAGCAACATGACATTGACCACGCCGTGACAAGCAACATGACATTGACCACGCCGTGACACAACATTGACCACGCTGTGACAAGCAACATGACATTGACCACGCCGTGACAAGCAACATGACATTGACCACGCCGTGACAAGCAACATGACATTGACCACGCCGTGACAAGCAACATGACATTGACCACGCCGTAACGAGCAACACGACATTGACCACGCCGTGACAAGCAACACGACATTGACCACGCCGTGACGAGCAACACGCCATTGACCACGCCGTGACGAGCAACACGACATTGACCACGCCGTAACGAGCAACACGACATTGACCACGCCGTGACGAGCAACACGACATTGACCACGCCGTGACAAGCAACACGACATTGACCACGCCGTGACAAGCAACGCGACATTGACCACGCCGTGACAAGCAACACGACATTGTGTACATGTTGTAAACTGGAGTCAGTTAGACAGAGCCATGGAGGACAGGTGACTCGATGTCTCATGGATATACATAATCTTACCTTTATGTGCTAATACTGTACCGACATCAGTACTCTATCCTACAGTGTTTACTTAATGAAAGGGCAGCAAGTGGCCCTGAAATGTTGCACAAACAATAAAGAAGATGTTATCCATAAATAATTCATGTCTTCATACTCTATGCTACTTATAGTATAGATTAATATCACGTTTAATGCTCGGCAGTACACAAAACTTAAGTGTGTCAACAGCGGAGTGGTAATACACTCCATGTGATCAAATGGCAGTATCTCATTGGGCACCAGCCAGGACAGCTTTTGACCTTTTGTATCTAGCAACAGAAAATAGTATTTTGAATTCATGGTCTAATAATAATAATAAGTGCATTTATGATGCACAAGATTCCATTCACCAAGAGGATGCTCATAGCACTACACTATTATTACCCCGGTCAATGGATCAGCAGGCACTCGATTTTCATTCTCATCTCCCTGGGGAGTATACAACCCATGCTGCCTAAGTATATTTGTTCTCCTTCTACTCCTATCATGGGTGTGATACTTATCAATCTCATAGTTTCAGTCTCTTCATCTGTTGTTATTAACTGTGGTTGGATAGCCCAGTGGATCTGTGTCCACTCAATCTGAATACAGTTGGAGTTTGACTCCTGACATGATACCTATATTGATGGTTGACCCTGTCTGCTTTGTCAAATGTTCACAGTAAACAGTGTGTAATGAACTAACTCGTCTCTGGGGATGATTGGGTGTCTGCTGCCACCTGGTGTCCTGTGAAGCCATGTATTGCTACAGCCGTAACTACAGCCGTTACTACAGCCGTAACTACAGCCGTAACTCCCGACACTAGATGGTTCTGCACCTGTGAAGACCCGGGTTAGAATTGGTCTTCAGCAACCCATGCTTGCCATAAGTGGCCACTAACGGGATCGTGTGGTCAGGCTTGCTGACTTGGTTGATGCATGTCATCATATCCCAATTGCGTAGGTTGATGCTCATGATGTCAATCACTGGATTGTCTAGTCCAGACTCGATTATTTACAGATTGCCATCATATAGGTAGAATATTACTGAGTGCATTAAACAAACAAACAAACTGACAGATGGTTCTGTTGTTCCAGGGATTGTTGAAGCTGTCGAGTCAACTGCTCAAGAGGGAATTCCCGTCACAGCCTGACATCATCAGTGAAGATGGACTGGAACACAAGTAAGTTGTCTCCCTTTGTCGCAGATGGCGGTTTCACCAGCACAGTGTTGCTCCTTGTTTTAACTACTAATGCCTGTACTGAGAACCTTTCACATTAACTTCCTCTCATGCTGTAAACAAAAAATCACTGAAAGTCATTCAAGAATGTGCTTTGTAAATTAACAAAAACATGTATCATTGAAAGAAAATCCAAGTATATATATATTTTTGTTATAAGAAAAGTCAATTTTGTTTGTTTGAATTGAGGATTAATATGCAAAATAACCTTTGTAACTGTATTTCTGTTTTTGTGATGTGACATGTGAGATAACATTAACGTTTGAGGCTGTGTTCCCTTAATGCTCTCAGCTACTCGGACGGAAGGTAGGTGTCCTCATCGTTGCCGATCATCTTGTCACTAGCTCGTTCTGGTCAAGCACCTGCTGGCCATGTTGGCCACACCACTGTTTCACACCACTGCTTTTTATCCTGAGTTTTCCGTTTGTTCAGAAATTAAACACGAATCAGGAAATGATCTCGTAACTTCATTTGCTTCCAGTCTCTTTTGCCTCTGAGTCATTGATGTATTAGTTCGTTTATGTGCTGGCTAAATGTTGTTTTTTTGTTTGGCATGTTTTTCTCTCTATTCCATTTTTAAAAATACCCACCGAGAATGGTAGGTGAAGTGCATCATGTTGTTTCCGGGGCACACCTGCCATAACATCAGTAAACATCTTGAAAACATCTTGAAAACAATGTGTTCCTATGTATAGTAGTCAGTAGAAGAAGTCAAGTCGATGTCCCTTCCTTGATAATGAGAACGGATGACGTACGCCACAGTAGGACACTGGAAGTATGACGAGCAGTGTGTACCAGATTTCACATAATTGGTGCGCCACCTGATAACAGGTGAAAAGCACAACCCATAAGTTAGAGAAGCACAAAACAATGTAAGCTATCCTGTTTTTGTTCATCTACCTGACATTTTGGAATCAAAGATATATTGATGCATACAAGGATGACAGCTCTTCTTTTTCCCAGTAGTATGATATGAGAGGCTGAGTTGGTTATGTGACAGGACAATGCATACTGGTTAAAGACCTGCAAGATGCTGACTCGCGGAACTATCGACAAACTGATGCGGTCTCTGAGATGAAGCACCTGCCAGGGGGAATTGATTTCATGTTAAGCCTGGGATAAAGTACATGTCGGCAACCACCATTACTGGAACAGGCAAGAACAAGAATAAGAACAAGCAGAACATTGGCTGTCATGGAACAGATACAGGCAGGATATATAGAGATTGTTGTACAAGCATGTGTAGCATAACAATTATGCGATACGAGTGTCAGAATTCTTGTATTTCCGAGTGAGAGCAAGGGTAATACATGCATTCTTACACAAGTTTTGTAAAATCAGTGTGACACAAATGCTATTATGATAATTTCCTAAATTGCCCATTATAAATGCACTGATCACAATCACTGTCTTAGGAAAACCACAACTATTGAACTACCTAAAGAATCTTCATTTATTGAGTCATTTGTAGTCACCCTCGACTGTAGTGTGACTTCATTCCCACCCTACGTCACAAAAAGATTCGGATGACCTAAACAATGAACTGGTGAGCATGAAGTGATATTTGCATGAGTAAACGTACGATTTTTATGAACTCAGTTATTTCTAACGCTGTGGGTAAGACATGTGAAATATTCAACCAGCAGATGGGATATCAGATCTATATAACCAGCAGATGGAGGTGGGATATCAGATCTATATAACCTGCAGATGGAGGTGGGATATCAGATCTATATAACCTGCAGATGGAGGTGGGATATCAGATCTATATAACCTGCAGATGGAGATGGGATATCAGATCTATACAACCCGCAGATGGAGGTGGGATATCAGATCTATATAACCAGCAGATGGAGATGGGATATCAGATCTATATAACCAGCAGATGGAGGTGGGATATCAGATCTATATAACCTGCAGATGGAGATGGGATATCAGATCTATATAACCTGCAGATGGAGATGGGATATCAGATCTATATAACCTGCAGATGGAGATGGGATATCAGATCTATATAACCAGCAGATGAAGATGGGATATCAGATCTATATAACCTGCAGATGGAGATGGGATATCAGATCTATATAACCTGCAGATGGAGGTGGGATATCAGATCTATATAACCAGCAGATGGAGGTGGGATATCAGATCTATATAACCTGCAGATGGAGATGGGATATCAGATCTATATAACCTGCAGATGGAGATGGGATATCAGATCTATATAACCTGCAGATGGAGATGGGATATCAGATCTATATAACCTGCAGATGGAGATGGGATATCAGATCTATATAACCTGCAGACAGAGACGGGATATCAGACGTATATATCAGCAGATAGACAATGGATGATGTACATCTAGGAGATGTATTGGAGGATGAAAAGTTCCATTAATGCTGCTCCCGACATCGTTACGTACCCCGATAATGTCGGATGTTGTTGACTGGTTGCCTGGCCTATGACTCAGTTAAATCGAGGGTTCTGTGATACAGCTGGAATACTGATCAGACATTAAACAACATTCACTCACTGCTCTGACTCAGGCCTGTCAGCAGGAGATGTGGTATCAAGGGAGCTGCTGAACATCCATACCTTCCGTGTCAAACATGCCCCGTGGGGTTGTCACCGCCATGGTCATATTCCACAATAGCCTTCATCCCAAACAGCAAGTCTCTGACGATTAGTGGCCGTCTTTTTCTGAAGAGAATTCTGAAAATAAACGGACTCCCATCATCCTACAGTGTGTTCTTGATGTTTGTGTCCTGTGACGGAACTTGCAGACAGGAGTTCAGCTTATCAGACCCCACTATCAATAGTTAAAATTTCATTTAAATCCAAAAAGGTTCTGGATTGATTACTAGTCCTTTGATGCCTCAGAGCTTAGACTGGAAAAACAAAAAACATTCAGGTCTTATTAAGATTTTATTAACTGCTGGTGAGCCTTCTCTCTGTGTTAGAAAATTCAAACCATCATTTTAAATATTGATGAAATTACTAAAAAATAAACCGCATGAATTTAATTAGATTAATATATGTCAGGCGATGTAATAGTTTGAGGACGAGCTAAATGGGACGTGGCATGTTAGGGATTGCACAGGGAAATTGAGTTTTCATGAACACAAACTTCATTGTGTGTAGGGTGGTGATGCATGTTGAGGACAGTGGCTAAAGACAACTTTCCCCAAAGCATCCCTTGGTTTTCATGATGCAGTGTGTGGTGACAGGGCTTGTATTTCCTGTGGGGAAGGATCTGATGGTTTATCATGTATCTGTGCATGTCCTGAATGGTTGTGTGGAAAGTGCTTTTAGGAACAGCCAAAAGATACATCAAATTTGTGACTGAATTAATGTGTCATCCTTCAGTGTGGGGTTGATACACATAGTGTCAACCACTTCCTGGTCTGATCATTGTTCACTCACTCACTCACTCACTCACATGCAGCCAGACCCGTGAAGATCCGGGGTAGAATAGGTCTTCAGCAACCCATGCTTGCCATAAAAGTGATTATGCTTGTCGTAAAAGGCGACTAAAGGGATTGGGTGGTCAGGCTCGCTGACTTGGTTGATGCATGTCATCGATCCCAATTGCGTGGATCGATGCTCATGATGTCAATCACTGGATTGTCTGGTCCAGACTCGATTATTTACAGACGGCCGTCATATAGCTGTAATATTGCTGAGTGCAGCGTAAACAACCAACCAACCAGCAGCCAGACAATCACACCATGTCTGCAAACATCTGTGGATGACTAATGGTTTTATGCCTGGACCTCTAAATTTGTTTTTCTTGTGTGGTTCTCTGAGAGTAGTTGTAGGAAAGTAGCAACTATCAATTGCAATAACATTTGCCATGCACAGTTTCGATTTTTGCTCTATTTTTTTTATGTAATGTTCACCTTCCATTGATCTAGTAAACCGTTTTTCTTATGCAGTTGTTAGAAAAGAGTTGATGGAATATAGTATCTGTCAATTGCAATAACATCCTGCTTTGCACAATTTCTATTTTTGCTCCATTTTTTAAATAGTTTCTACTTTTTCAATCAGTTGTCATGATCCTTGTCAGTTTTCGAGGGAGTAATAGGGTCTTTGTTTCCATGATATGAGGCCAAAAAGCATTTACAAGCCACCATCATATTGCTGGGATATTGATAAGTACAAGAAAATACTGGCCATGAAGCTACAAAAACCTTTTTGCTCTGTGAAATGAAACCCATGTGGTGGTTTCGTGGGGACTGCCATCTTGTGGCCTCAAATCTCCAGCAGTTTTTGTTTTTGATCTGGAAAGTATATGTTTTGGATGTAAGTAGTTAATGAAAAGATTCATTTATAGGTTTGGGTTTTATGGTTTGTAGCCAATGAATGTTGTAGAATAATTCAATTAATTCTACAGTGCATGTTGGTCATCTGCCTGTAGAATTCTGGTGTAGTAAAATATATACTACTCAAAAGAAGTTAAGGATCACCTGATTCTTTCATATTACTATAGCTAATCTCTCATGTCATGACAGATTAACTTTACCATTATGAAAGAATCGGGTGATCCTTAACTTCTTTTGAGTAGTATAGGGGCTCCTCTATCCCTCTACCCAATGTATCAGAAGCCACACCCACTGCACCAGCCAGAGAGTTTCCAGTGAGTGAAAAACACTTCAACCACTAGACTACCCAACCCCACTTAGTTAATAGTAGCCCCTCCCGTTACGACCACCATGTACATGTATGCTATCACAATCCACTACGGCTGTGTTACTGCAGCCGTTACAGTGGTGTTGATCCAGGATGTATTGATGCTGTTGGGTACCACTCGATATGTAGATAACCCTGGCAATGTTAGCTTGACACTGGGACTGCAAGCAAACAAAATCATTCGGGGGCCATCATAATTGTGATTAATCATAATGAATGAATAAGTTTGTTTATCTTGTGTTATATCTGGAAGCAGTGGTGATATATTTTCACAGTTGTCAGCAAAGCCTCATCACAAAGTTCAGACAGGTCGGAGTACATTCCCTGATGCATGTACTCCATGTTTGAAGCTTTCAGATGATTCTCAGAGATGTATATTTGTTTGGTTTTGAAAAAAGTTATTGAATGTCCTGTTCGGTCGATATCTTTTTATTGCTGCATCCACTTGATTAGAAATATCGATGGACAGTTAGATAAATAAGCAAATTAATGCTGGCCGAGTGCCCCCGCTGTGACCGAGGGTGTTCTCGGTGAGAGGCAGGTTGTCAATAGTGTCGCAGGACGTGATGAAATCAGTCACTGGCGTCTATAGACCCATCAAGCTGTGTGTTCAGCCCCACAGCTGATCCAATTGGTGTGCACTGCTTGTATTGCCTTCATAAATACCATGGAAACCCATGTCATCCCGCACAATCCAGCAACAGCATCTCAAGAAATTCATCACATCTTGTACTGAAGCCGTAGAGGTGTAGTCGATCATGTTAGCTGCCACATTAGTGGGTATAGGGAAGCCTTTGTCTCCAGTTGAATGGGTTTTATCTACTGGACATTAATTTTGTATCTGTGATTGTACAAATGGAATTGTCTGTGTTTCTATGTTAAGAAAGCTTTTATCTTAAGGTCGGAGGAGGTATATTTGTCTACGTTGTCTACTCAAGAAAACTGTTAGATTCTTAACTGCCTGGGTGTAATGTGAGCAGTGCTGGTAGTGCAGAATCTGCTCAATAACTTTCCTCAGACAAGGTAGAAATATCAATGTTCTGTACCGAACACTCCTCATTTAAATATGATGGTGGTGTGGCTGAGTGGTTAAAGCGTTCCTTATGCTGGGCTCCCTGGTTTGACTCCCCACATGAAATATGTGAAGCCCTCCTGATATTGCCTGAATTTTCCAAAAAGCAGCATGGATGGATGGATGGATGGATGGATGGATGGCTGGCTGGCTGGCTGGATGGATGGATGAGTGGGTGGGTGGATAGGTGGGTGGTTGGCAGGATGGATGGATAGGTGAGTGAGTGGGTGGGTGGATGGATGGATAGGTGAGTGAGTGGGTGGATGGATGGATGGATAGGTGAGTGAGTGGGTGGGTGGATGGATGGATAGGTGAGTGAGTGGGTGGATGGATGGATGGATAGGTGAGTGAGTGGGTGGGTGGATGGATGGATAGGTGGGTGGTTGGCTGGATGGATGGATCTATGGATGGATGGATGGGTGGGTGGGTGGATAGGTGGGTGGTTGGCAGGATGGATGGATGATGGATGGATGGATGAGTGGGTGGGTGAGTGGATGGATTGGTGGGTGGGTGGATGGATGGATCTATGGGTGGTTGGCTGGATGGATGGATCTAGGGATGGATGGATGGATGAGTGAGTGGGTGGATGGATGGATGGATGAGTGAGTGGGTGGATGGATGGATGGGTGGATGAGTGAGTGGGTGGATGGATAGATGGGTGAGTGAGTGGTTGGATGGATGGATAGGTGGATGATGGATGGATGGGTTGGTGGGTGAGTTATAGATGGGTGGTTGGCTGGATGGATTGATCTATGGATAGATGGATGGATGGGTGGGTGGGTTGGTGGGTGGGTGGCTGGCTGGCTGGATCGGTGGATGGATATGTGGGTGGGTGGATGGATGGATGGGTGGATGTGTATCATGCATTATGTAAACACTTTATGTTCAGTTTGGTGTCATAAGATATGTTTGGTTTTGAAACCATTGTATACATCAGTATTTTTGTGTATATACACTCGTATATGTCGTCCAGCAGAACTTGGCATTATAACCAGGGAGGTGAAAACCCGACCTTACTGACATGATATCTGAAGATTAAATAAGAACCACGGCACATTCTACATCAGATACTTGCCAATCCACGGGTCAAAGTGGACAAATATAAGTTTAATAAGTAGAAGTCTTTGACATTAATCTGCCTTGAACCAGCTGATAATTGTGTGAGTGTGTCAGTCAAGTTTGAGCACTACTCGAAAGGCCTCGCTCCTCATCACCTCCATGTTGTAGTGTTTGCGTGGAGACATTGATGGTGTGAGTCTTCACATCAACTCTATGTGGGGATTAGCTGTGAAAACATCTGAGATCAATGCAATTAGTTTACATATTTAGAAGGTGGAGTTATCTCAATTGCCAATTTGTTGTCAAAATGAAAAAAAAATGACATTATAACCAGGAAATTGGAACATTTGGTCTGAAAAACATTGGCATTGGCATTATAACCAGGGAATCTTACCCTGAGGAAATAGGCTCTGAGTAAAACATGGCACTATAACACGGGGCATTATAACCAGGGACATTATGACCAGGGGCATTATGACTAGGGGCACTATAACCAAGGGCACTATAACCAGGGGCATTATGACCAGGGGCACTATAACCAAGGGCACTATAACCAGGGGCATTATGACCAGGGGCACTATAACCAGGGGCACTATGACCAGGGGCATTATATTCAGGGGCACTATAACCAGGGGCACTATAACCAGGGGCACTATAACCGGGGCACTATAACCAAGGGCACTATAACCAGGGACATTATAACCAGGGGCACTATAACCGGGGCACTATAACCAGGGGCACTATAACCAGGGGCACTATAACCAGGGGCACTATGACCAGGGGCATTATGACCAGGGGCATTATATTCAGGGGCATTATGACCAGGGGCATTATGACCAGGGGCATTAGAACCAGGGGCACTATAACCAGGGGCATTAGAACCAGGGGCACTATAACCAGGGGTATTATAACCAGGGGCACTATAACCAGGGGCATTATAACCAGGGGCACTATAACCAGGGGCATTAGAACCAGGGGCACTTTAACCAGGGACACTATAACTAGGGGCATTATAACCAGGGGCATTATAACCAGGGACATTATAACCAGGGACATTATAACCAGGGGCACTATAACCAGGGGCATTAGAACCAGGGGCACTATAACCAGGGGTATTATAACCAGGGTGGCATTATAACCAGGGGCATTATAACCAGGGGCATTAGAACCAGGGGCACTATAACCAGGGGTATTATAACCAGGGTGGCATTATAACCAGGGGCACTATAACCAGGGGCACTATAACCAGGGGGACTGTATTGTGATATATTGTTTGAAGACTTCCCCTACTGTGCTGTGAAGACTGTTGTGGTGTTGCAGGACTGCCTGTACCGTGTGGCACCAGATCCTGGAGGAGACAGAGAAGGTGGCCAAGGCCCGACTCCAGGCGGCAGAGATCTTCATGGAGAAGATAGCAGAGTCGGCCAAGCCTCTCAAAGTGGCCAAAGTCCATAGCATGAAGAAGGTAATTATTGACTGGACTTTGTTCAAAGTGGCAAAAGTCCATAGCATGAAGAAGGTAATTATTGACTGGACTTTGTTCAAAGTGGCCAAAGTCCATAGCATGAAGAAGGTAATTATTGACCGGACTGTGTTTAAAGTGGCCAAAGTCCATAGTATGAAAAAGGTAATTATTGACTGGACTTTGTTCAAATTGGCAAAAGTCCATAGTATGAAGAAGGTAATTATTGACTGGACTTTGTTCAAAGTGGCCAAAGTCCATAGTATGAAGAAGGTAATTATTGACTGGACTTTGTTCAAAGTGGCCAAAGTCCATAGCATGAAGAAGGTAGTTATTGACTGGACTGTGTTCAAAGTGGCCAAAGTCCATAGCATGAAGAAGGTAATTATTGACTGGACTTTGTTCAAAGTGGCCAAAGTCCATAGTATGAAGAAGGTAATTATTGACTGGACTTTGTTCAAAGTGGCAAAAGTCCATAGCATGAAGAAGGTAATTATTGACTGGACTGTGTTCAAAGTGGCCAAAGTCCATAGCATGAAGAAGGTAATTATTGACTGGACTTTGTTCAAAGTGGCTAAAGTCCATAGTATGAAGAAGGTAATTATTGACTGGACTTTGTTCAAAGTGGCCAAAGACCATAGTATGAAGAAGGTAATTATTGACTGGACTTTGTTCAAAGTGTCTAAAGCCCATAGCATGAAGAAGGTAATTATTGACTGGACTTTGTTCAAAGTGGCCAAAGCCCATAGCATGAAGAAGGTAATTATTGACTGGACTGTGTTCAAAGTGGCCAAAGCCCATAGTTTGAAGAAGGTAATTATTGACTGGACTTTGTTCAAAGTGGCCAAAGTCCATAGAATGAAGAAGGTAATTATTGAATCAGACAGATGTGTGTGGACCGTCAGCTTTTGTCTGATGTGTGAGGACTGTCAGCTGTTGTCTGATGTGTGTGGACCGTCAGCTTTTGTCTGATGTGTGTGGACTGTCAGCTGTTGTCTGATGTGTGTGGACTGTCAGCTGTTGTCTGATGTGTGAGGACTGTCAGCTGTTGTCTGATGTGTGTGGACTGTCAGCTGTTGTCTGATGTGTGTGGACTGTCAGCTGTTGTCTGATGTGTGTGGACTGTCAGCTGTTGTCTGATGTGTGAGGACTGTCAGCTGTTGTCTGATGTGTGTGGACTGTCAGCTGTTGTCTGATGTGTGTGGACTTTCGTTGATGTGTTGTCTGTGCTGTTGCAGGTGGCGCCGCAGTTGTCGACAATACAGACGGAGCTGGGGCAGACGGTGTTGGAAATGACCAAGTGTCAGAAGGCGTACAACGTGGATGAGACCTACTCACATGAGGCCCGGCAGAAGGCTGGGGATGCAGAAGACAAGTGAGGAGTCTGAATGTTCAACTTGTGTGATTTCATATCTCATCTGTAACCAAGTTCAGTGAGGCAGGACTTTGTCTTTATCATATAAATAATTTCATCACAGAATCACCTGTGATAGTATGTGAGGTGACGTCACATTCAAGATTATTGCACTTACATAGCGATGCATGTGCATGATCATCTGTCTGTCTCTCTGTCTGTATGTCTGCCAGGCAGTGTCAGACATCTTTTGGTATGTCACTTCCAGGGATTGAACTACTGTGTGAAAGTATGTACCATTGTGTAATTTGATAGATCATTGTCTATCAGAGGACACTTTTTGTGTCACTAAATCTTTACACAGTTTTGACCTTGCCTTGCTGCTGCCATACTAAGTGTCCGAGAGACCCTTGAAGATCCGGGGTAGAATAGGTCTTCAGTAACCCATGTTTGCCGTGAAAGGAGACTTTGCTTGTCATAATAGGCGACTAACAGAATCGGGTGGTCGGCTCGCTGACTTGGTTGGTGTATGTCTTTGTATCCCAATTGCGTGGATCGATGCTCATGATGTCAATCACTGGATTGTCTGGTCCAGATTTGATTATTTACAGACCACTGTCATATAGCTGGAATATTGCTGAGTGTGGCGTTAAACAACAAACATACAAACAACAGAGTCCAAGATGAGTTTAATGGCAGTGTGCTTCCTTCCCCAGATTGAAAAGGAAATCAACGGGTTTGTTCCAGTCCCTTGCTAGTCTGCAGAAGCAGTGTTCGAAGGTGAGAGAAAGGTAGCCCAGTGGTTAAGGTAATCACTATGGCAAAAACCTGGGTTTGATTCTTCACAGGCGTAAAGTGTCAAAAAGGAATGTCACTCTCCATGATACTGCTACACTATTGCTAAAGGCAGTGCTACGTCCTTTTGAGTCTTTAGGTCAGAAGGCCAGTGGCTGCTTATTTCAGAATGATACCTGCACTAATGATGAGAAAATTATGAAGAAAACATCATCAGCTGTCTTGTCTCCAGGATCACTTTGTGTGAAGACAGATTTGCAGTCTTCTGTTTCAGGAAAGTTGTGATTCCCAGATTGATGTCTTTACACTGAATTGAATGTTGCAGTTAAAAAGTCGGTACGATGCGTGCGAGGTGAAGTCCACGGCGTCACGGAATGACTACATCCTGGCGCTGTCAGCGGCCAACGCCCACCAAATCCGCTACTACAGCACCGACATGCCGGATCTCACCAAGGTGAGGACAAGACACAATTACATACATTATAACCAGGAATTAACAAACAGTGTTTCCCTCAGACACTCCCTCATGTCAAGTGTCGAGTTAGTTGTCTTAGTACCTAAGGATGATTGTTGTCTACATTTAGTGCAGTAGATGTCAGTGATGGCTGATGGCAAACTGTCATCATAGTCCATGTAATAACAGCTTGCAAATACTTTCTAGAAGGCTGTACAACCAATCAGAAGCTGTGATGCCTAAGATCCAATCACTTCAAACATGGTTTACGTCTCGTGTAAAACACTTGCCCTGGATTTCATGGTAGTAACATAATATTAAATGTCCATAACTGCTTGGTTGGTTCGTATGTAATAATCGGAAAACGTGATAAAAAGACTTATGATGTCAAAAATAGTCTTCGCTTCTGTGCATAACTGTTACAAATAGACGTCGTCATAGTGATATGACATCATAGTTGTATGTCAGTGTATGACCAGGAATGATGCTTGAAGTACAAATTACTGTGCAAGTATGTATACAAGAAGTGTTCATGTCCTCGGTATGTTGTTGTACTGTGTGATGAGAGCCCATTGGTCCCTGTCGTCACAGGCCTGGGTTCAACTCCAGGTCAGTGAAAACGGTTTGTGTGTTGCCATCCTGATAGTGCTGCACAGTGGAAAAATAGCAGAAAGCCTTGATGTGTTTAAGAAAGAACATTGTGTTAGGGTATATGTATTTAAGAATCTTTTGGTTTGTTTATTGTTTAACACACACTCAGCAATATTCCTGCTATATGATAGCAGTCTGTAAATAATCTAGTCAGGACCAGACAGTCCAGTGGTTGAGAATCAATCTACGCAATATGGATACGATGACATGTATCAGCCAAGTCAGCGAGCCTGACCACCCGATCCCGTTAGTCGCCTGTTACGACAAGCATGGCTTGTTGAAGACATATTCCAACCAGATCTACACGGTTCATTTAAGAGAGTAGTATTCTGTGTTGGTGTATACATGTGTGTTTAAGAAACTAGTAGGTATGTTGTGCTTGAGAGTGCTAGGTATGCTTACCGATGCATCAGAGGGGTGTTCCGACAAGGAGCATCCTGACACCAAGGGTGTATGCAAGAAATGGGGTGTCAGTAAAGCCAGTTGCTAGGATTATTTGTGCCTGGAAACAATCTGGTTTTGTTTATTTTGTATTGCATGCTGATGTTGTATTATTTGGTTGTCCAGTGACGTGAAACTGTGAGTCCTCGATCTGTCCTGTTACACATCTACCACAGCTGGCTGAGACGTATGTGGAAATACATAAGGAGCTCAATAGTCATCTCCCAAAGATGACCTTTCAGCTACTTACGTTTCTCTTCTTGTGGTTAACAAGATATGGTTTTAAGAATCTACACAATCAGGAAAACAGAATTCATTTCATATATTTAACTAGAATGTGTGAGTGAGTGAGTGAGTATGGTTTTACGCCCCTTTTTGCAGTTTTCCTGCAATATCACAATGGGAACACCAAAATGTATAAGACAAGGGGAGGTAAGCTAGATTTGTCCAGTTTCCACAGGAGTAGCTTCTTCACCTCAGATAAAGGAACCAGATTGCATAAAAAGTACACAGAATCGGTTCAAGATACAACATTTGCATTTCGATACAACTATTGCTAGAAAAGATCAACCATTCTGATTTGACCGGTACAAATTTCTCTGAGAAGTTATTTAACTTGGTGATATGAAATTTAAGGTCTGGTTCAGGAATGAGGGTTTAAGGCTATTTAGGGTTGAAATTGCATTGATAATTGTATGCAGGTGAGGCCATTGCGTACTAGGGATCTCAGGAGTTGGGGTGTTACACAGGATGAAAGTTCCGTATTGATCTCACTCTCGGGTAACCTGTAAATGTCCACCAGTAATACCGGTATAAACCAGATTATAACAGTAACCACTGACTAACTACGTCCTGGTGTAAGACAATGGAACAGTTTCACGTCACTGTTGCTACATCCTCATGATTCTTTCTGCTAACTTCTCATTAACCTGTTTTGTTCAGGGTCAGGACGTAAGTATGCTGAAGTGTTGTGTGTCGTACGTGTGGGGACCGCAGCGCTATTTACCTTCTCTTCTATCAGTATCATCATCCCATATAAGACTCATTACCTTTAAAGAGCCCAAGGCCAAGTGTTTTAACTGTTTGGTTTACAGATTTCTTTGCTTGAGTAGGTCAGTCTCAAAATAAGGACAAAAAGTCAATATTATTTTTGTTTCACATTTGTATAACACAATATTTTTGTTTCAATTTTCAAAACGTAGCTTATATGTGTTTACTTACATCTGTGGCGGCTTTGTTCAAAGGGTTTGTCTAGATAGAAACTTTATGGTTGATTTGTGTAGTTTTCTCTTTCTAGTCTATTAAAAACTGGTACCATGAATAGACAACTTATAATAAATCAAAATTCACTTAGACTATATTGTTTTTCTATTGTTTTATTTTACTCTGGTTGGTCGAATCTGTAAACAATAAAAACAATGTCAAAGCTTTAAATAAAAACCTTGACATAAAAAATTACTATTTTCAACTAAATTTTATTTTTATAATTTTGATATAAATATATCTTTAAAATGAAATTTGTTTGAAAGAATACTGACACTCCGACTCCGCTTGGCTGGAGATGCTGGTCAAAGTTTTATGATGTTATCACCAAGGAGTTAATGAGGGGATCTTAAAGGTAATGATCACCAGTTCCTGTTTCAGTCCGAGATTCCAACATACCATGCAGTTAAAGCAAGCCCTATACCTTTGTTATTCAACTCTAATTCCTATTTTCATGTGACGTCACAAGACCCAGTGTAACACATTCCCCAATATACGTACACCCTCCATAACATTCAACAGGCACTGTCTGGGTACAGAGTATATTTACTCAAACTGCTAGATAGATTGGAACATCAGACATATACTACAACCATCAAGTTGTAAATTCTAGAAATGCCAAGACATATTAAAATACGGCAGAAACATGTCACATGCTACTGTCTGGGGCTTTGTGTTGAAGTCAAAGAGATTCTTGTTCTTCTTTCAACATAATTTTCTTGTCATGGTGGAAGATTTTGTTTTTGTCATAATTGAACATCTTTTTCCCATTTCAATGATTTTCTTTTTCTTAACCGAAATTATCATTATGTTATTTTTTATTTTCATCAGACTTTTTAGAAAATCTGGTATTTGGGATGTTTGTAAAATCTTTTCCTCTTTGTCTGCCTATTGTGTGTCCAGCAGCTTTTCCATATAGATATTTATTCACATATATGTATATCTATGTATATTGTGTGTGAAGTATAGTCTTATTGTGCATATACTCACAATATGTATGCAATTTATTTTTTAATTTGTTTATTTTTCTTTATTCTGTATCCAACAGACAGGTTGTGATGGGTACATGTTGACAGCAGTCCATGTTGGTTTAATGATTGTGAGATTGGTGTAAGGCATACATCCAAACTCCTCCCCACTGACCCCCCTCCTCTGCACTGAAATATACCCCAACCCATTTATCTACACTGTCACTGATGATATCACGTCCCACTGGGATATAAAGTATATTGTCTTTTGTATTACCCTGCACAATGAAAGATTTGTTTGAGAGTTTGAATTATGTATAAATGAAATCAAATTCAGTTAATGTTTATTTGTAGTTTCCTTACAAAAGAATTGAGTAATCACATTTTTGCTAGATTTAGTCCTGTGAGATATTTCATTTTAATGTAAAGTTCTGTATGTCCGACCACAATGTTGTTACTTGCAGCTTAGATCCAACAATCAACTATAGTTAATGATATTGCAGTATATTCCCTCTATTTGATATGATGTATAATGTTATATTGTCCTTGTCTCCCTAGACTGTGGATAGGGAGGTGTATATAATGTTATAATGTCCTTGTCTCCCTAGACTGTGGATGGGGAGGTGTATATAATGTTATATTATATTGTCCTTGTCTCCCTAGACTGTGGACGGGGAGGTGTATATAATGTTATAATGTCCTTGTCTCCCTAGACTGTGGACGGGGAGGTGTATATAATGTTATATTGTCCTTGTCTCCCTAGACTGTGGATGGGGAGGTGTATATAATGTTATATTGTCCTTGTCTCCCTAGACTGTGGACGGGGAGGTGTATATAATGTTATATTGTCCTTGTCTCCCTAGACTGTGGATGGGGAGGTGTATATAATGTTATATTGTCCTTGTCTCCCTAGACTGTGGATGGGGAGGTGTATATAATGTTATATTGTCCTTGTCTCCCTAGACTGTGGATGGGGAGGTGTATATAATGTTATATTGTCCTTGTCTCCCTAGACTGTGGACGGGGAGGTGTATATAATGTTATATTGTCCTTGTCTCCCTAGACTGTGGATGGGGAGGTGTATATAATGTTATATTGTCCTTGTCTCCCTAGACTGTGGACGGGGAGGTGTATATAATGTTATATTGTCCTTGTCTCCCTAGACTGTGGATGGGGAGGTGTATATAATGTTATATTGTCCTTGTCTCCCTAGACTGTGGATGGGGAGGTGTATATAATGTGATAATGTCCTTGTCTCCCTAGACTGTGGATGGGGAGGTGTATATAATGTTATATTATATTGTCCTTGTCTCCCTTGACTGTGGATGGGGAGGTGTATATAATGTTATATTGTCCTTGTCTCCCTAGACTGTGGATGGGGAGGTGTATATAATGTTATATTGTCCTTGTCTCCCTAGACTGTGGACGGGGAGGTGTATATAATGTTATATTGTCCTTGTCTCCCTAGACTGTGGATGGGGAGGTGTATATAATGTTATATTGTCCTTGTCTCCCTAGACTGTGGATGGGGAGGTGTATATAATGTTATATTATATTGTCCTTGTCTCCCTTGACTGTGGATGGGGAGGTGTATATAATGTTATATTGTCCTTGTCTCCCTAGACTGTGGATGGGGAGGTGTATATAATGTTATATTGTCCTTGTCTCCCTAGACTGTGGACGGGGAGGTGTATATAATGTTATATTGTCCTTGTCTCCCTAGACTGTGGATGGGGAGGTGTATATAATGTTATATTGTCCTTGTCTCCCTAGACTGTGGACGGGGAGGTGTATATAATGTTATATTGTCCTTGTCTCCCTAGACTGTGGATGGGGAGGTGTATATAATGTTATATTGTCCTTGTCTCCCTAGACTGTGGATGGGGAGGTGTATATAATGTGATAATGTCCTTGTCTCCCTAGACTGTGGATGGGGAGGTGTATATAATGTTATATTATATTGTCCTTGTCTCCCTAGACTGTGGATGGGGAGGTGTATATAATGTGATAATGTCCTTGTCTCCCTAGACTGTGGACGGGGAGGTGTATATAATGTTATATTGTCCTTGTCTCCCTAGACTGTGGATGGGGAGGTGTATATAATGTGATAATGTCCTTGTCTCCCTAGACTGTGGATGGGGAGGTGTATATAATGTTATATTGTCCTTGTCTCCCTAGACTGTGGATGGGGAGGTGTATATAATGTTATATTGTCCTTGTCTCCCTAGACTGTGGATGGGGAGGTGTATATAATGTTATAATGTCCTTGTCTCCCTAGACTGTGGATGGGGAGGTGTATATAATGTTATAATGTCCTTGTCTCCCTAGACTGTGGATGGGGAGGTGTATATAATGTTATAATGTCCTTGTCTCCCTAGACTGTGGATGGGGAGGTGTATATAATGTTATAATGTCCTTGTCTCCCTAGACTGTGGATGGGGAGGTGTATGTAATGTTATATTGTCCTTGTCTCCCTAGACTGTGGATAGGGAGGTGTATATAATGTTATAATGTCCTTGTCTCCCTAGACTGTGGATGGGGAGGTGTATATAATGTTATATTGTCCTTGTCTCCCTTGACTGTGGATGGAGAGGTGTATATAATGTTATAATGTCCTTGTCTCCCTAGACTGTGGATGGGGAGGTGTATATAATGTTATATTGTCCTTGTCTCCCTAGACTGTGGATGGGGAGGTGTATATAATGTTATATTGTCCTTGTCTCCCTAGACTGTGGATGGGGAGGTGTATATAATGTTAAAATGTCCTTGTCTCCCTAGACTGTGGATGGGGAGGTGTATATAATGTTATATTGTCCTTGTCTCCCTAGACTGTGGATAGGGAGGTGTATATAATGTTGTATTGTCCTTGTCTCCCTAGACTGTGGATGGGGAGGTGTATGAGAAGATACAGGAGTACTTCAGCCTGCTGGGGAGCACCGTCGTTGAGATCAGCCAAGCCGAGGCCAACAGCTTTGAAAATGTCGTCAATGAATCTGCAAAGGTACATAGAACTATCAGTCCTCTACTAAAGGAGAGCAGGGAGGTCGGTTAGCCTAGTGGTTAAAGCATTCGCTCGTCACACTTAAGACTCAGGTTCGATTCCTGACATGGGTTCAATGTGTGAAGCCCATTTCTGGTGTCCCCCGCCGTGATGTTGCTGGAATATTGCTAAGAGCGGCATAAAACCATACTCACTCACTTACTCACTCACTCACTCACTCACTCACTCACTCACTCACTCACTCACCCACTCACTCACTCACACACACACACACACACACACACACACACACACACACACACACACACACACACACACACACACACACACACACTGTTGAACAACAATGTAGTATAGGTACATCAACAGTGGTCATCGGACATTTTGATTATTTCTTGTGGAGATTTGTAGTTAGTTATGGGCGTGACATTGTGTGTTTTCAGATCAGCCGAGCGTTCAGCCTGCAGTGCTTCCTGTTCTGCAACCCAGTGTTCACGGATCTGGTGCAGTATCAGTTTGAACCCTGCCATAATGACCAGGTGAGTACACATGCACTTGCTTACGAGCTGACTTCTATATTTTTACCTTTTTGGAGGTATAACCAATAAAAAAACAATGTGCCTAGCAGATTTACGCAAAGTTTGCTCAGCGTTTTTTATGTTTCTACTTCCACAAACGCAAATAAAATGCTGTCATTTCTTATAACTAGATATGTGCACAATGATAACACTAACACACAAAAACACGAAATCAGTGACATCCTTCAGGGCAATAGTACAACACAAGACTCACCCCTTCTGTTAGCAGCCAATCAGGAAACAATATTTTATCAGTGGGCGTGGCCTATTTTTGTTAGTTTATGTAAACCAATCAAATGCCACAGATTTATTTATTTATGTGTACATACATGTGCTGACACATTCTGTCAAGTGCTGCGGGGAACTTGGAGGGAAAATGTCCCCTCTAACATCTTTTTACATGTTTAATAAAAGTAGTTTTGTTTTTGAACATGCATGCCTAAAGCATATCTGGAGGGGTAAAAAATACTAAGAGAAATATGACTGCAAGTGGCACAATGTTGACATCGTACATGCATGTGACTTCACAAGCTCAGACCTGCTGATGTGGATTATCAGAGGTCATAATTATAATAACTATTTGTATTAAATTGGACTGTTTTGTTAATTCAAGTAAGTTGTGTAACTTGTAGTAATTTAGCCACTTATCAAGTAGTCTCTGACTGCTCCTGACAACAAATACAGATGGATTTATTCGATGGTCCATATCACCGATATGAAACAATCATCTCCAAGGACAGGAGAATTGGTTGTATAGATTTTTTGATAATATTTGCATTTCTGCCTAAAATGTATTGTGAAATCCTTCATCTAGAAACCACATAACATGTCTTCCTTGAACAGATGCATCCTTGAACAGGCCAGGCCATATCATAAAGCAATCAAGCTCCGAGGCAAACCTGGTCAGCAGTTTATGGCTGTGATCAATAGACACATATTGATTTCCAACTTTGATGCGTTCACCGATATTGACAATGTCAGCTCAACTAGTCTGCAAACTTCTCATTTGTTTAACTTAAATATAATTTATAATGATTCATAGCTTGTAACTTGTCTTGGCATTAGGGCAATTGCTATTTACAAATAGCCAAATAATCATCGTTTCTTGTATCTTATAGGCTAGCTCAGACATTTCATCTTGAATAAAAGGAAAGTAACATCCATGATTTTAGAAGAATAAAATGTAATAAGTGTGTTTGTGTTTGGAGTTCGCGAATGAATCTGTTTAAGATTACGGCATATTGATTTAGAACTCCTCAACTTCGTAATCAAGTTGGAGCCTTCATTTAAAGCAGAACAGATCTGGATTACAGGAATTGATGTCTGCATCTCTCCAGTGTGTAGGGTAGAGATGTGAGCTCAGTGGCTGACAAGGTACATACATCCTGGCCAGCACAGCTAATTCGTAAGATACCGTATTCACAGTATTAAGCGCCCCACACCATTCAGTGCACCCTGACCAGCGTCTAGAGGAATCTGTAAGTAATGTTTGTAGGCGCCCCTACTAAGACCACACATTTACATGACACATCATATTTTCTTGTCTATAGTACTCTGTATGGTTTTAATAAGTGACCCCTCCACAAATTACTAAGCATCTGGAGTGATAGTATGGCGAATACAGCAATTACATCTTTGTTTATAATAAAGTTACTATGTATGAACCAGAAACTGTGTCTTTGATTAGAGCTACCAGATCGTGAAAGGTTTTGTCGACTATGAAGATTCAGGTGCATCCTACAACTAAAGCTAAGCCACGTGCTTGTGCTTGTATCAGGGCTCGAAAAATGTCTTAAACCCAACTTGTCCTTCAGGGCAAGTAGATATTATTACTCATCCTGCAATATTTTCACTTGCCTTATTAAATTTAATAGAGTTTTATTTTCTCCTTTATTTTTAACCTTTGAGTTGAGGATATTTACGACAAACGGTAACTACTATCATCCCTGCCAATTCAAAGTCACTCATCCATAAACATTTTGTTTTCGCTTTTTACAGTCATACTGTTTTTTCAATAATAAAATCATTATTGGCCTGTTTTGTAATCAAATCATTTTTTTTCTCGTCAACCTCACCATTCCTGATTAAAAAACAGCCATTATTACCCTTGGCAAAATCACTCACTTTTGCTTTGACATTTGAGAATCAGTAGCATGTCGCCTACAACAAAAATAATTATTGACCTTTCATTAGGGCAGTATCATGTTTTATAGACCCAAGAAACTGATATTCACTGAGGCCACCGGCCGAGGACAATATCAGTTTCTACTGTCCATAAAATATGAAATTGTGGTCAATTATTGTTTTCATACATAATTTAAAAAACAAGAATATTTCAAATTCAACAATGATTGAATCAGACGTTACAGGAAGTCACTGGAGATGATGCACAACAAGCCTCGCGTTACGCTCTCTCTGATGGGCTGAACATATTTTTCTCCTTTGAGTCCAAGCAGGGCAATATCACTCTTGATCCTTGCCTGGCAGGGTTGGTCGCAGCGCAATATCACTCTTGATTGTTGCCTGGAAGGGTGGGTCTCAGGGCAATATCACTCTTGATTGTTGCCTGGAAGGGTGGGTCTCAGGGCAATATCACTCTTGATTGTTGCCTGGAAGGGTGGGTCTCAGGGCAATATCACTCTTGATTGTTGCCTGGCAGGGTGGGTCTCAGGGTAATATCACTCTTGATTGTTGCCTGGAAGGGTGGGTCTCAGGGCAGTATCACTCTTGATTGTTGCCTGGCAGGATGGGTCTCAGGGCAATATCACTCTTGATCGTTGCCTGGCAGGGTGGGTCTCAGGGCAGTATCACTCTTGATAGTTGCCTGGCAGGGTGGGTCGCAGGGCAATATCACTCTTGATTGTTGCCTGGCAGGGTGGGTCTCAGGGTAATATCACTCTTGATCGTTGCCTGGCAGGGTGGGTCTCAGGGCAATATCACTCTTGATCGTTGCCTGGCAGGGTTGGTCTCAGGGCAATATCACTCTTGATCGTTGCCTGGCAGGGTTGGTCTCAGGGCAATATCACTCTTGATCGTTGCCTGGCAGGGTTGGTCGCAGCGCAATATCACTCTTGATTGTTGCCTGGAAGGGTGGGTCTCAGGGCAATATCACTCTTGATTGTTGCCTGGCAGGGTGGGTCTTAGGGCAGTATCACTCTTGATTGTTGCCTGGCAGGGTGGGTCTCAGGGCAATATCACTCTTGATTGTTGCCTGGCAGGGTGGGTCGCAGGGCAATATCACTCTTGATCGTTGCCTGGCAGGGGGGGTCTCAGGGTAATATCACTCTTCATCGTTGCCTGGCAGGGTGGGTCGCAGGGCAATATCACTCTTGATTGTTGCCTGGCAGGGTGGGTCTCAGGGCAATATCACTATTGATCGTTGCCTGGCAGGGTTGGTCTCAGGGCAATATCACTCTTGATCGTTGCCTGGCAGGGTGGGTCTCAGGGCAGTATCACTCTTGATCGTTGCCTGGCAGGGTGGGTCTCAGGGCAATATCACTCTTCATCGTTGCCTGGCAGGGTGGGTCGCAGCGCAATATCACTTTTGATTGTTGCCTGGCAGGGTGGGTCTCAGGGCAATATCACTCTTGATCGTTGCCTGGCAGGGTGGGTCTCAGGGCAATATCACTCTTGATCGTTGCATGGCAGGGTGGGTCGCAGGGCATTATCACTCTTGATCGTTGCATGGCAGGGTGGGTCTCGGGGCAATGTCACTCTTGATCGTTGCATGGCAGGGTGGGTCTCAGGGTAATACCGTGTTTTAAGAATTGTATGTGACCCTTTCTCATTCGATGAAAATACTGATATTATTTGAAAATATGATAATAAATATTATTGCCTCCCTTTAAAAAACAGTTTAGAGACCTGCTGTGCAAACACACTTTTTGTTTATTTCTTCAATAGACAGTTGCCAAGTTTGTCATCTATTAATGATGTAAGCGACATGTAGTTCGTTAATATTACTACGAACATATGAGAAATGAAAACGTATTTTAGGATCGAATTATCCTGCATATTTTATTGAAAACGATTAGAGATTGATACGATTGATATATATGTACTCGCCCGGTAGGACAAGTATTTCTTCACTTCCATCTCGCCCTACACATGCTGCCACTAGTCAGTACGAGGGGACGAGTGGATTTTGTGCGTAACTAAACGTCAAATGTCCTGTCATCTGAAGTAGTTGTGATTTGATGTTTGATGTATCTTGTTACAGTGCAGCAAGGCCAGCGGAGACCACAATGCCATGCCAGACTTGGAGAAGGAAGCCAAAAAATGGGCAGCAAAAGTTGCTAAGGAAACCAAATCAATTCGAGAATACCACAGGATCCTAAAATGTTTACAGACACAGGGGTCAGACAGGGTGAGTGTCTTAACGGAGTTATCTCACATGTACACTGATTACTGATGGTGATGAAGGGGCCACAGGTGGCCCAGTCGTCTCAGGTGCCACTCACTCACTGATGGTGATGATGGGGCCACAGATGGCCAAGTCGTCTAAGGTGCCACTCACTCACTCACTGATGGTGATGACGAGCTAAAGATTCCCCATTCTCTACATCACAAGGGAGGCATTGGTGGCCCAGTGGTCCAAGTTGTCTGGCACCACATTTGACTGAGAAGAGTTATTGCCCTTAGTGGGTTCAAATTCCAGACTTGCCCTGATTATGAATTGTTTAATAGGTATACTTAGTAGTTGACGGATGAAAAGTAGACACAATTTATGGATAACAACTTCTTTATTTACTGTAAAGGTGACGTTTCAGTAAAGATCCTTATACCGTTGTCAAGCAAGGTTTGCTTACAGAAAATAAGGACGTTGTTTTCCATAAATTGTGTCTGCTTTGCCCTGATTATGTTCTTGGTTTGTCAGCTCCAGGCTTAAAAGTTTCATTTCAAGAAAGTGATTAGTGTCTATGATCAGCATCCGTCCCACATTGAGCTCACATGCTGTAACATCCTGTAACATCCTGTAACATCCTGTAACATCCTGTAACATGCTGAGATACTGGTCAGACACTCAGTGACTGGGCCAGCACTCTGGCTGTTATTGTCATAGTTGCCCCTGAGCTATGGAATAGACTGCCATTGGATATCAGAACATTGACAGTCCTACTTTGTTCCGATCAAGACTCAAAACCTTTCTTTTCACCAAATCGTTCTTGGAGTATTGAGGCTTTGTGTTTTCCTAGCTTTGTAATGTCTCTTTTTTGTGTAGACTCAAATGAAGCGCTTTTGAGCAGTTCTTCGAACTGGATACCAGCGCTATATAAATCTGTAGTTATTATTATTATCATATCTGTGTTGATGGTGTGTGCTTAACTTGGTGAACGTCTTCATTGGTTGTTCAGATTCTGCCAATGATACATGAGTGAGTGAGTGAGTTGGGTTTTAACATTATTCCAGTTATATCACGGCGTGTCAGCTTAATGTGGGAGGAAAGCCAGAAGTGATGCAGGTCTTAGACGTTTACCACTTCGATGAAACCCACGAGCACGGGTATGGTGCTGACAAACCTAGAAACATAATCGGGTTGAACCGGGATTCGAACCCACAATCATAGGTTTCTGGCGTGTCCAGGGGATGCAACTCTGCACAGCGAATCGCGGCGCCTTAGACGACTGGGCCACCTGTGCCCCCCAATGATACATGAACAGAAGGAAACAGTTGTTCTGGGTTTGTCTTGGGATAGCTTGTCCAAATACACCCATCTCTTAACTTGGAACTGCTCGCCCAAACTATACCACTTGCACATGTTTTTGTAAATCTTGTGCATTTCATGCTCTGTGTGTGACAGACTACGTTGAACAGCGTAACATTAAGAATTGACATTTTATCATTATGGGACGAAGACGTCCATAGGACTCCGGTCAGGAGATTGCTTTGATAACACTAGAGAGAACTTCCATTATCGGGAACTTAATACCATTTTATGAAGCAAAGTGGTTAAATATTCACAATTTGGGGGAATATATAGAAAAAGTGTCACTGTGGAGATTTATTCATTGATGTAAAGAAGGTTCTGTGTTTCTGTTTGTTTATCTTATTAAGTTTCAGACAATATCTTTTTGATTTGTTGTTTATTTAATGGGAAATACAACTGCCTCATGCCCAATACAAGAATACCCGATTGTGCAGGAATCTTGATATCCTGTATGAGTTCACTACCATTTTGTATTCCAGGTGTCGGACTCAGGGATCGAGTCAAACTCCACGACGGCCAGCAGTTCTACCCAGGATCCCGAGGTCAAGATGGAGGAGATGCGCCAGAACATTCGTAAAGCGGAGGTAACGAACACATTATCACATGGTCAGTGATCAATGGAAGACAGTTGTGTTTGTTGAACACAGATGCTGCATGGTTTTCTTGTTCCAACAACATTGTGACATTGTATGTTTCAGACAGGCAAGATGAAGGCTGAAGCTCGGCTAGAGGCTCTGCGAAGTGCAGGAAGTAAGTTTATCAGTAATCGTCATGAAATATAGCCAGCCATCTGATTGGCTAGCCTTGTAAAACCATGTGTTGATGTTCTGTTTGAGGTAGCATCTCTTGCGTGTCATGTCACAAATAAATATATTTGAAACATGTAACTCATAATAATTGGATAATGGTTGAGCTTTTTTCTCGGCAACTATGTGAAGATATAAGAGAATAAGAACAAGAACACTGAAACTGGTTTTGGTTAGTATTTGTTTAGGGTATTGACATAATGTTAACGTTGGAGAAGTCCACAGTTTGCGTGGTGATAGGTACTGGGGCACTGCTGAACTGTCAAGCATTTCCAGCATTGAAAGTACTAAAATCATTATGCCCTTTGAATATATTTATCTTTTAGTAAAATACTTAAAAACATGAAAGAAATTATATTAAGTCTGCTTTTCTGTTTTTAAATATTAAAATTCTGCCTCAGTGTAGAATTGTTAGGCACATGTCATCTTGGTAATCGTTTTCATTTTCTCTTGTAAAATACTGTTTTAGTCTGTTGATTGAAAAATTGAATATATTTTTTAAGAGAAATGGGGAAAGACAAAGAGTTTTAAAATGCCCTGCTAATTCCATCCTAAGATGTGACAGTCTCCAAACAAGGCCCTGTAAGCCGGGACGGTTAGATCCCTTCTGTGTGTAGGGCCTTTGTTAGGGGGATATGATTCATGGCAAGATGAGAAGAAAGAAAAGCAGGTCGCATGTCTCCGTCTATGTACACAGACATTATGCAAGCACATGGCGACTACCTTGTATAGCATGCACGTGAGGCCCCCACTCCACCCCTCCACCCCTCCACCCCCCTATGGCCTGCTGCTGCTGCTACTGTGAGGGAGGCACACAATGGCTGCTTTGTTCCAGGGGGATGACGAGGGACAATCAAGGCTGATGTAATTATGGGATGCAGGGGGTTATTACTGTAGCAATTATATGGAGATGGCGCCAGTAGAGTTGGAAATTATGAAATTTTTTTATGTACTTTCTTGACAAAACGAGACCTGTAATTATGTATTGTGTTTTATCAGCATTTTAGAATTATTTATATCAGGGTGTTAGATGTCGGTTCAGAGTTGATTGAAATCTTGTTTTAATTGTACAATCAAAAGAAATAGTGCAGATTTGATTTCCATTAGTTGTTACAGCAGAAATAGTCTCAGTCAACATATTAATATTCCCAAGGTTTATGACTCATGGGGACAGAGTGAAGAGCTTGGCCAGTGTCATGCTGTAGACTCAGGTTCAATTCCACATAGTGGTACCAGGTGGACACGCATATTTTGGCCTGTGGCAGAATATTCCGAAATAGTGCATAAAACCCTTGTCACTTGTGGGAGAAAATGGAAAAATGGAATAGTGGAAAATATAAAAAATATTCTGTCAGTAAAAACAAATTTGAAAAAAAACATAAAGTATGTGATGTAAGTTATTGAGCAAAATAAGTTACCTGATTAGTGGCAACAAATATCGTTGAATTAACTAAAGTGTGTCTCTGTTGCCGTTTTCCATACTGTTGAACTGATGTGGTTGTGTTCCCTGTATTACAGAAGATGAGTTGAGATCTGACTTTGTGTCATGTTTCAGTCAACGTGGATGAGTATTTGAGCAATGCCCAGAGTGAGAGTCTGGGGACCGATGACATCTGCATGGCCCGCACACCCAGTCAGATGTCACTGCGGACAGAGAGCTCCGGCGGGGTGAGTCAGCTCCCTTCTTACTATATATAGAAACACATAAGGGTGTTACTTCTCGTACTTTGAGCTATGCATTAGGTTTGGCTGAGTGTTTTTCCTGCTAATTAATTTTATGTCTGGGAGTTAGAGTATTCTTCGGGCTTTAATTTCCTCTGGGAATGTGTGTAATATGATTATACATACAAGTAAGTAATTACTACAAAAACAGCCACGCACAGAGTCAGAGCTGACGAGCTGTCAGATGTTATGAATATTTCAGAGAATTAATATGCAGCATTGAACATAGGTAGGAAGGCAATATGTGTAGGGCCTTTCATCTGCAGTGGTCAGGGGATCCGTTTAATGATTATTTGTAAATCACTTAAAAGTTTTCAATTTATAGTTTTTAAGTTTTCTTAAGGTAGGCTTTTCCTTTACTGGAATGAGAAGGTTTGTTGTTTTAAGGGGTTGTCAATCAGAATGGAGAAAAGGTTTTCGTTTGTCATCAGTTTTGAGTGAATGTCATGTCGTGCAGCAGACGGTGTGATATAACTGTGATGTTGAAATTAACGCATGTGTCATTTGGATGAAGTGTTGATTATTGCGCCCCCCCCCCTCCCCTCTCCTGGAGATTGTATCACGACATCATATCAATTACAGACCAAGATTTAAGATCATTGTGGACGCGAGACCATTAGGATAAAGGTCAAGGATGTTGAGATGATTATGTCTTCCATTACATGATGATTTCTTGAAAACAAGTATTGGGTGTCAGAGAGTGTGTTAGAAAAATATGTAAATCAGCATGTTGCGTGATGACAAGGGATGCTGTAATGAGCTGCTGTCAGGGAGATGTACCGCGGTAACACTGCACGGCAGACAGTCGAAGGGGGAACACAGGCCTTATATGGTCAAATGTGTTTTTTTTGTTTTTTTAGCAGAATTGTTCATTTCGGTTTGGAGAAGGATGTCAGGAGATTTGATGCATAGAACAGCGGAGTATTGATCTGTCATTCAGAAGCAGTCTCTTGGTGTTTGTTGTTTGACATGGAATAAGTTGGAGAAAATCGGCTATTTTGATGGAATTAGGTCTTATCAATTAAATTGTGAAAAGATGTTATTTATTGGATGTTGCGGAATAAAGCCAAACGCAAGGACGTTGTTTTTTGGAAGTGGATGATCTGGGAAGTTTATTTAATGTGTTGCATCAGCTGTGTTTGATATCAGCATTAGGGGTTGGCTGTTCAAGGCTGGACTAGTGAATTGTAAAGTTGTAAAGTCTTCGTTTACTGGGGTGAAAGTGCTTTTATCTATCTGAGACTTTACAAGAATATATATTGCAAATAATTTGGGCTTTGATAAAAAGATTATGAAACATTGTGAAAAGGAATAGAAAATATAAATGCAATAAATATATGTTGCGGCCAGCAGTGAGCTTATTGGAACCAAGACAGGGCAGTCATTTGGTCCCTATGTCTCTGTATGGCAGGAATATAACTAACCTGCTCAGAGAATACTCAACCCATAATATACAGCAAATGGCAGTAAAACTTCCCCAACTGAAATACAATTTCCCAATTCAGGATAATAATAATACAGCTATTATGGCTTACAGAGGTGACTTGTATTTTACTGGTAACAGGGCCGATGTAGAGGAAGAGGCTTGGATGCTTAGTTTAACATTATTATATTGAATTTAATGTTAAAATTCAGTGTTACAAAATACCTCTGAATTTCAGAAAATAACGCTTGCACAAGAATAGGCAATTTCTATTGCACTCTGTTTCCACACCACACAGGGCATGTGGAAAGGCTAAAGTATTATTATGATAACTGAATGCATAATCATTGAGTGAGTGAGTGTGTGAGTATACTTACCTCTGCTTTTAGCAGTAGTCCATCAATATCCAGGTGGGGAACCCTAGGCTTCACACACAGTACCCATGTTGTGAATGAAGGTTGGAGATCTGTGGGAGCCATAGTTCCTGGCTGAATAACCCAACTCTGCCCATACAGACATATATCTAGGATTCCAACCTAAGGCCCTTGGCGGCCAGATTGAGAAATAGCGTTCAGATCACCCGCCAGGAAGTGGGGCAGGGGATATAAGAACCGAGTTCGTCCATTCATCTGTCCGTTTGTTCGACCCTCTGTCCATCCTTTCATCTGTCTGTCCATCCTTCACTATTTCTATCTGTCCATCCTTCCGCTTCTCAAAGGGGACAAATTTTCTCAAGAAGTATTTAAGTTAGAGAGATGAAATTTTACACACTAGTATATATTGGTCATGATTTGAAATGAGTTCGATAATTGGTGTCTTGAATTCATTTTTTACAGAGTTATGGCCCTTTCTCTGTTCCTTTCAACTTTGTGCATACTGTGTGAAATGGGGACAAGTTTTCTCAGGAACTACTGGTTAGATTGTCTAAGAGATACTTATCAAGACTGAGTTCGAAAATTGGTGCCATAAATTATTTTCTCCAGAGAAGGGGCCTTTTGTGTGTATTAATTTCACATTAATAATTTTATTCTGATGACATTAAGCGACCCGAGTGCTTATCTCTTCTTGAGGCTTTATAGGACTCTTTTTGTAAATAAGAGTGAATGACAATATATTCCATGATATGGTCGAGATATATTCAGAAGGATAGGATTGACTGCAAAATTAAATAAAACAACAATGTATATAGCAGTCAATTAATGCAAAAATCATTCTAAACAACACAAATTTGCTTTTCAATTAATAATCTATCAAAAATATTACATTTTACCAAAAATACAATTCTAAATGTTAGATATCATAATAATAACAATGTTCACTAAATTGTTTACACAAATAAAGTTTACATACCATTTTATACGCCCCGCATTTCAACAAACAACCACAGACACAAGCATGCCTCTCACTCAGCCATGTAACAAAATACGAGAGTTATCGTTCTTGGCCCGCTCTTCTCGTACGTTCATACAACAAGTCTATAAATACGAACTTTAAACATAAACCTTACACTTTTTTTATAGTTATTCACTGCTATATGAGCAAACAATGTCTAATGTCCCCCATGGCGGGGGACAGTGATAAAACTGTCTTCTTGTTGTTATTATTATTATCATAATTAATTTCTACTCCTTATTATATGCCCCGAACTCCCAAGAACCCTGATGAGTTTGTTGAGTCTCTTGGACATCTGGGGGGTACGGGTGGCCCAGTCGTTTAAGGCGCCGCGATTCGCTGTGCAGAGTTGCATCCCTTGGGCACACCAGAAACCTATGATTTTGGGTTCGAATCCCGGTTTGCCCCAATTATGTTTCTAGGTTTGTCAGCACCATACCCATGCTCGTGGGTTTCACCGAAGTGGTAAAGGTCCGAGACCTGCATAACTTCTGGCTTTCCTCCCACATTAAGCTGACATGCTGTGATATAACTGGAATACTGTTAAAAGCGGCGTTAAACCCAACTCGCTCAGTCAGTTGGACATCTTAGTCCTTTACAGAGTAAGTTACATGTAACAAGTTGTTAGGAATCTGTTACAGCACAGTGCCGATGACCACGAACCCACATACACACATTACGATGATGATGACGACTTCATCGATGATGCCTTCAACACGACGACGGGGCAGAGTACGACTCAGGATCCCACCAGGAAATATCCACTCAAGTGCAATGCCCTCTACGAGTTCCAAGCCAGTAATTATGACGAGCTGACAATTGCAGCCAATGAGGAGTTAGAGCTGGTTGCCGACGGTGATGGGGAAGGATGGGTAAAGGTAGGTAACTCCGTTCTGTTAATGGAATGCATCTTCTTAGCAAGTGTCAGCGTTTCATGAACAGCCTGGTATTTAGATGAGTATCAAACCGTGACTTCCCTCCCTCAGTTGGTTTCCTGTGATGAGTGAGTGAGTGAGTGAGTGAGAGTGAGTATCCCTAACTGGAACTATATGGGTTGACAAATACATGGGTTTTTTTATCAGTTATGGTGGCCTGAAGTACTTACAAATCTCTGTGGTTGCTTCATGGTCCTGTCTGTGTCACATTGAGCTCGTGGCAGAGAGTAGGTGGATGGGGGACCATGCTTGACATACTTGACTCCTGAGACTTTTGAGGGCTTAGGCCCTGCCCCACACTGAAACAGGTTATTGTGGTGAAGTCCTCTGTTCACACAGTGGTGAATGGACACAGTAGGTTCAAATGGTAATGTGAATTCAAACCTTTGGGCCTTGTATGAAGCTTGGGTTGGATACTCCCCAGGGAGCTGAGAATACAATGGAATTCACTTTGATCTGTTGCCCTGGGTAACAGTGCCATGCACTTTGTTGAGTCTATGTTAATGGCCTATTAATATGATTATTTGTCTGAATACAATTGGCTGACTTTATTGTCTCACACCCTCAGTCTTCTTCATCCTCCCGTGACAAGCGAGTGAATGAAGGTTCAAATCCCCTCCTGTTCATTAGCTTGCAGTATTTGTAGTTCCCTTGGAGATCTGGGTTACAACTGGTCTTCAGCAACCCAAGCTTGTCATAAGAGGCGACTAACGGGATCAGGTGGTCAAAGTTCCTGACGTCCCATGTCATTGTATCCCATTTGCATAGATCAATGCTCATGATGTCAGTCACTGGATTTTCAGGTCCAGATTCGACTACTTACAGACCACCGTCATATAGTTAGAATATTTCTGACTGCAGCATTAAACTAGCCAAGCTTCCTGCCAACTGACGTGTGTTGTCTTCTCTAGGCCAGAAGCTCATCAGGAAAGACAGGCTACATTCCAGAGAATTACGTTACTTTTGACGGAGAGGGACAGCCGAATGGGTCGGTGGCACAGGGCGACGCCCCTTCACTGCCAGTTTCTGCAGGAAGTGCCCCGCCCCCTCCCCCGCCCCCAGCCTCCTCCGAGCCTATGTCGCCGACATCGATCAATGACAACCAGCATGACACGACGTCCTCGTACTCATCAGGTGACCTTGAGGTTCAGCAGACAACCGAGGAAATGGCGGTGGACAATGTCCAACCAGGGCTCGGAGGTAAGAATTACCGGACATTTTAAAGAATATCTCAGCCTTTAACAGGAAATTACATATTGTAATAGTCTTTGGATTTGTATTGATGATCATAATACACATAATTTTTATGAATTCAAATTTCATTTGACAGTAAGATATATGTTGATCAGTAAAATGAATTTTCAAAGGCGGATCCAACATTTCTAAAAGGGAGGGATCCAATAATAATACTGCCAGCAAGGTACTACATTTGGTTTTCTAAAGGGGGTGGGCCCACCACCCACCTCGGGATACGCCTGTGATATTAGACTTGATGGACCCATCATGAAACCATCGATTACAAACGCAAAACACAGATATTTGATAATGTTGGCCTTAAAGCGACACTAGTAGCACCAAGAGTTACTTCCCCTGCTTCAGATGCCATGTGGGCACGCGCGCTGTATGACTACGTGGCCCAGGACAGCGAGGAAATCAGCTTCGCAGAGGGGTCACTGATCAAGGTCATCCGCAAGGACAACGATGGAGTGGACGACGGCTACTGGGAGGGGGAGTTCAACGGCAACTCCGGTCTCTTCCCGTCGATGGTGGTCGAGGAACTCACAGCAGATCAGGTAGGGAGGATATGTGTACCGTCGATGGTGGTCAAAGGAACTCACAGCAGATCAGGTAGGGAGGATATGTGTACCGTCGATGGTGGTCGAGGAACTCACAGCAGATCAGGTAGGGAGGATATGTGTACCGTTGATGGTGGTCGAGGAACTCACAGCAGATCAGGTAGGGAGGATATGTGCAGAGCAGGGGAGTGTGTTGGTGGTTGAGGAACTCACAGCAGATCAGGTAGGGAGGATATGTGTACCGTCGATGGTGGTCGAGGAACTCACAGCAGATCAGGTAGGGAGGATATGTGTACCGTCGATGGTGGTCGAGGAACTCACAGCAGATCAGGTAGGGAGGATATGTGTACCATCGATGGTGGTCGAGGAACTCACAGCAGATCAGGTAGGGAGGATATGTGTACCGTCGATGGTGGTCGAGGAACTCACAGCAGATCAGGTAGGGAGGATATGTGTACCGTCGATGGTGGTCGAGGAACTCACAGCAGATCAGGTAGGGAGGATATGTGTACCGTCGATGGTGGTCGAGGAACTCACAGCAGATCAGGTAGGGAGGATATGTGCAGAGCAGGGGAGTGTTTGGGCATGACAACCATGTTACATCAATGTTACATCAATGGTGCATCAATGTTACATCAATGTTATATCAATGTTACATCAATGTTACATCAATGGTGCATCAATGTTACATCAATGTTACATCAATGGTGCATCAATGTTACATCAATGTAATATCAATGGTGCATTAATGTTACATCAGTGGTGCATTAATGTTACATCAATGTTACATGTGCTGGAGGAATGCTAAGACTGAGATGGATCGTTTGAGCTACCCTGTGTACAGCATGAGGATTTGAACCTTAACACTCAGTGACACCAGTGAACACACGTACCACTGAACTACCTTACACTCCGACAGGGGAAATAACATGCAGTGCCACAGATAATGTTACAACCTGCAGAGTATGTACCGGGTACTCCTAAAGTTTTCAGTTGAAGAGCACTGGGATAGTTTTAAACACTAAACCTGTTTTCACTCCATTAATATTTTGTAACTTTAGCAACTTAGTTGTATCAGTGGATGTTTCTTCTCTTCCCGCAAAGTAGACAGTTCGAAATACAACCTTCTCAACTTGATTAATGTCAAGTTTGTATGTGAATGGTCGTATGAATCTGTACTTCTAGCCTAAAAGTGCGTCATTGTATCTGCAGCCTTGTGCTCCTGGTGCTCATTGTGTTACTTGAATGTAGAAATCATACCCCCCAGGAACTGACAGTATTCATTGTGTTCTGCGTATTTTCGGACCTATAACTGGAAGAAAACTTTGTGTGAAGCAGACATTTGAACAAGGTGTTTCGAGCCCTGGATACTGTAACAGCCACTATTTGTCTGTGTGTTCTTGTAATTTTGTCACGACATGACACAGTCTGCTGGGAGTAAAGTGAACGAGTTCATGAATAATTCCAACAATACTTTCCCTAAAAGGAAACCTTGAACCTGTACTTGAATAGTCTTTGTCAAAGAGTTTAGTTATTATCAATATATTTAGTTTTACCATTACTGTGAGATGAACATTTGCCAGTCAAATTTAAGATAATCTGTTTTCTGCTTACCTAATGCCTAATAACCAGAATTCTCCTGTGTTAATTTGAAATTCGCCATGCTTTGTTCTTCATTGTTCTTTGTGATATATCACATAGCTATGTTATATGTGAGATAGGACCTCCCTGTATGACCAGCAAATTCTGTAGGTCCTGTGGATCTTGTCATGTCCGCTGTATTCAACATTTCACTTACAGGAAGTGATGTCACCCGGTGTTGACTATGTACCACCACCCCCGGTTACCGTTACCATGCCAACGCCTGATGCAGAGCTTCCACCACCCCCTGTTACCAATGGCGATGGTATGTATAAACCAGTGTAGTGGTTCCAATCGATGTGTAATGTCGCCGCTGTCCGATGTTGTCAAAAATGGTGGCTATAGCTCTACGTGTTGTCTATACAGATTGTTACTAAAACAGAATTATTTTAATTTTGAAGGTTTTCCTCATGTATAATATCTAAGGAATAAGACTCCCAAGTAAATTGTAAGTCAAATGAAATTTTGATATAACAGGCTGCATTTATTGCTATGTTGTGTACAGAATTAGAACTGAGTAGTGACTAGGCATCAATGAATAAGACATTTATTCAAAATATTACGAGCAAAATGTATTTGCATCCTATGTAAGCTGGATCTCGGGAGACATGACAATGTCATTTTGTCTTCTGTCCAGGGACATGCTATTTCTCCCTGAAATATGTTGACAGTGATTATAGTTTATTTACTACCATGAATAACTTTACCCTGGTCTGCATCATGTGCATAGAAATGTTGCCTTGTTACCATGGAAGTACATTGACATAACCTATAACCTTAGTACCATGGAAGTACATAAATATTAGCTTGTTTCCTTTGAAGTACATAAATGTTACCATGGAAGTACATAAATATTAGCTTGTTTCCTTTGAAGTACATAAATGTTACCATGGAAGTACATAAATGGTACCTGGTTACCGTGGAAGTATCGGCATGCAGGTAGTTGTAAAATGATTGTCTTTATAGGGCGCATGGTGTTTTGGAATATGTGTAAGTTTAGCCCGTGTTTGTGTCAGCATATATCATAGACTGAGTTTGTTTGACTTTCTTCTGTACCTTCTGGCTCTGTGTGTAACCTCCTGCTTCGGATGGGGGATAGTTTCATATACACTGGGGAGGGGGATACATTTTCATATACACTGGGGATGGGGGGAAGTTTCATATACACTGGGGATGGGGGATAGTTTCATATACACTGGGGAGGGGGATACAGTTTCATATACACTGGGGAGGGGGATACAGTTTCATATACACTGGGGATGGGGGGTAGTTTCATATACACTGGGGATGGGGGATACAGTTTCATTTACACTGCGGATGGGAATAGTTTCATATACACTGGGGATGGGAGATACAGTTTCATAACACTGGGGATGGGGATACAGTTTCATAACACTGGGGATGGGGGATACAGTTTCATAACACTGGGGATGGGGGATACAGTTTCATAACACTGGGGATGGGGGATACAGTTTCATAACACTGGGGATGGGGGATACAGTTTCATAACACTGGGGATGGGGGATACAGTTTCATAACACTGGGGATGGGGGATACAGTTTCATAACACTGGAGATGGGGGATACTGTAAGTTGTAGCAGGATCACTCGGGGAACATGGGACGGATACAACACCATGTAACCTGAGTGATCCTGCTACAACGAATTTATTGCACCGACATGTTTTAATATGACATTGTAAAGAATTCAAACAATTTCAAAATTGATAGATAACAGCTGTTCACTTGAACTGAGGTTAGCTCCTGCTTTGTTACGTCAGCGTGCGGAGTTTTGCTTTGAAGCAGGTTAAATGAGATTTATTTCCCCGCTGAGTAATGTATTCCCCTCCAAGGCTGGTTTACTTAATATTTTATTGAGGTCACGTGGACCAATCAGATCTCATTTCTGACATGGAGGTATGATAAAGTCTCCTATACACTGGTGGAAATGGGTACAGTAGACACAGTTACCCGACCTCCGTGCTGCCCCCTACTGTGTGAACAGGAGCCCTTGTGGCTGCCGGACATGGCCAGGTTCCGCACAGAGCCAGATTATCTGTGTACTTTCATGTGGAAATCTGCTTTGTTTCCAAACAAAGCCTGAGACCTCTGTTTCATGTATTCTTTTAAATTATTATTATTAATTAATTTTATTAATTCAATTATTAGATTTTATACTTGATTTTCCTAAAATCACGAGTGTCATGAATGATTTACATATGTAATAAGATCTTAATGACACTCAGTTTCATGATGGTTTCTACATGAAAGATTAACTTGATTTTATACTCATATTTATAATCTACCCGTTTTTCTCCCCAATAATATCTCACATCTCACCTCCACACTCTCCATCCTCACCTTCTCTGTCCTATAATCTTTGTATCGCTTCTCTTTCTCTTTTTGTCTAACTCTGTACCCTGTATCTCTATTATCCCCCTTTCTGCCCAGCTGTCTCCTTCACTTGTAAATCTCATCTTCTTTCCACCCTCTTCCCCCTTCTATCACTTCTTCTCTTTCTCGTTTCCTCTTCCTCTCATTTGTTCTGTCTCTTCTCTCGTTGACTCTTCCTTTCACGCCACTGTCTGCCCTTTCTCTCCCATTTGAGGAAACTTTTCACTTCACTCCATCTCTCCTCCTCCTGACTGTTGTGCCTGTCACTGGATGTGTTGGTCCGTACGGCCCTGAATGCTGCAAATTGCAACTGTGTTGATATTTCAGTTCCCCTCCACCCACAGAGTCACCGATTGGGATCCGTAAACCCCCACTCGTTTGAGTCCACCGTTTAGGTACCCGGCATGGCCTCTTGTCTGTAGCCACTCACACATATAGTTTCATACTAATTGTTTTTTAAATCTTTTTTTCAAACTAATATCATCTAACTTGATTCAGAATCACTTGGCTTGTAAGGGCTTATGACCTACGCCTATGTGAGATAAACCAACGTTGTTTGTTATCCATCCTGTGTTTGGGGAGCTGGGTGGTTGAAGCACTGGGTTATCAGGTTGAGAACCCAGGTTATAAACCCATGGCTGGAAGATATCTTATAGTGGCAAGAAACTCACTCATGGTAGTTCTACAGCCTTCTACATGGTTAAGGTAGTCGGAACAGGATGTGGACCAGCTTCCAGCCATGTCATTGGTTGACTGGTATCCAGGATCTGATTGGTTGATGGCGTCCAGTTGGTTGACTAGCCTCATATGATTGGGTGAAACAGCTCTGATTGTTGAAGTTGTTGGGGGCTGTCTTGATGCTCTCTCATACTCATAGTTTTGTAATGTTCCTGTACATCTTTAATATCTTTTGGCAGATCCTCTGTCTGAATGATGTCAGTATATTTTCTGTGTGTCAAGTCCTGTGTCATATCTTTTGGCTGATCCTCTGTCTGAATGACCTGAGTATATTTTCTGTGTGTCAAGTCCTGTGTCATATCTTTTGGCAGATCCTCTGTCTGAATGACGTCAGTATATTTTCTGTGTCAAGTCCTGTGTCATATCTTTTGTCAGATCCTCTGTCTGAATGACATGCAGTATATTTTCTGTTACAAAGTCCTGTAACGCTCATACCTTTTGTCAAATCTTCTGTCTGAATCACACTCATTATATTTTCTGTGCATCAAGTCCTGTAACGCTAATATCTTTTGTCAGATCCTCTGTCTGAATGATGTAGTATATGTTCTGTGTGTCAAGGTTTTGAGTGTGAAGATCATCCCCCACCCCTACTCCCTGGCCTGTGTTACTGGCCGTCACGTGATCCGCTCATGATGAACAATGTTCCCAAGGCCCACCAGATTGCACCAGATTGCACCAGACTGCACCAGACTGCACCAGACTGCACCAGTCTGTTCCCGTGTCCCGACATTACCTAGAATACCCAGGGTAGCTCCATCACTCTTGACTGAAGTCTGATCTAGCTGTGTATCGCTCGTATACCACCCCTGACCTTGACCTCTTCACGTTGGCAGCTGTGTGTGCGAGTGAGTGAGTGAGTGACAATACGTAATTGTGAAACTTTGCCTCACTAACTGTCCAGTAGATTTAATCCTCTAGATGTAGATATATGTATTTTATGCTGTATATTAGCATGTGAAATAGCCATATACTGTAAATCTTCAAATTAATGTGTCTCCAAATTCCTATTCTTTAAATGACATTGTCATGTACTTGTTACAACTGCTGATGAATAATCAGTGTTCGTGTATGTAGTCAAGTTGATATTTCCGCTATTCAAAGTGTGCAGTAAGGCCGTCTTATTGTTGATAGTCATTTTGGAGACATAAATACAAAGGTTCATTAATGCGAACAAAGACCACTCGCATTTTTCGCATTTAATTTGTGCTCGTGTTTATTTCAAGATTTACAGTCCTGGCATGAGATAACTACTTGTATTCGTGCATGTGTCATCTGCTATTCCTGTACTTGAGCCGGACGATGGCTGTAGTACTGACACTGTGGTATTCTCCAGTAACATATACTCATGTGGAACTGATTCGGAACAGATTTAGATTTACAGTTTGCTGCCATATTTGGTCAGTCGATATGTTCTATCTGAATATAAGTCATCCCATCCTCAGTCTCCATCAGGATCTGGGGATTCAGATCAAGTAAATGCCTTAAAAAGACATTTCTCATATATAGCTTGATGAATAGCGTGTGTGACTCAACAATTCACTCAATGATTGATGTTCCTTGTAATGTGACTTATTTTATTGGTTTGGACATATCTTATCCGACCTTCCTCTTCGACTCTATGGACAATTGGATAGCCATTCACTCATCATGCTGAAGATCCAGGTTCAATTCGCGACATGGGTATAATGTGTGAAGCCTATTTCTGGTGTCCCCCGCCGTGATATTGCTGGAATATTGCTAAAAGCGGCGTAAAACCATACTCACTCACTCACTCACTCTTTGACTGAAGTATTGCCTGTCCCGAGTGTTGACCGGTTTAGTATTACAGTATTTTGGTCGTACAGTATTTCGTGAAGCTATTTCAGTACTTGTCAGCTATAGCATGAGAGTGGTATAGCAGGTCAGTTTATACAATATGAGTTAAACAAGAAATCCACAGATTCTGTTGTCCAGGGAAAGTTGTCCTGTTCGGATATCACAATCATGATTCTATTTTGCAGATTCAGCAACTGAGCCAATTTCTGACAACAGCACACCTGAACAGGTAAGATGGTTACCATGGCAGCAAATAATGCATCTTGATTATGGTAGTTGTCAGAATCTGTTCTTGGCGCTTGCTGTGTAATATAACTGAATTATTAACACGTCATGTTCTGTAGGGTGGTGGGAAGGTGAAGCAGGGTGGCGGAGGATGAAGTAGTAACTGTGTAGGGGGCGGTGGGGTAGCCTAGTGGTTAAAAAGTGTTGGCTCATCACGCTGTATACCCAGGTTCGATTCCCCATATGAGTACAATGTGTGAAGCCAATTTTTGGTGTTTTCTGCTGTGACTTTGCTGGAATATTGTTAAAGGTGGCATAAAACAATACTCACTCACTCACTCATACATGTACCTGACCCTGAGTCTCTCAACTCAAAGTATGAACTCGAACAAAAATATCGTTTATCAAGGGGGGTGGGGGTGGGAAAAGGTGGTCACAGTGGTAAATTGACACATGCAAATAAAATATTATCACTGGAGATTTATCTTCTTAATAAAAGACATGTTGATGAGTATGAGAGACTGGGGCATGTGAGGAAGTGTACACTGTAGCCACCGATGACCCTAATGCGGTGTTGCCAGTGTTCACTATCAGACACTAGAATATGTATTGTTAGTGTTACAGTATTACAGTTTTAGACGTGTAGATGCACTATGAGTGTAAATGTTTTCAATGCATTGTGAAAAATGAGGAGGAACTTCCTTCAATTGTTACTCCAGTTTTTATTCATGGTAGCAACAGTTTCGCTATTGTAGACAAGGTCAGTAGTGTCGGAATGCTTCTGACCTGATGACTAGTAGCATGTTCGTGTGATGTAGTAAGTCTGTTAGCCTGTTTGTTTGTTAGCCTCTTAATTTGTTAGCCTGTTAGTCAGTTAACCTGTTGTTTGTTAGTCTGTTAACCTGTTAACCTGTTAGCTTTGTAGTCAACTTGTACCTATGCTGATATGATGTATATTCTCTGTTACTGCTTCCCAGTCTGTGGTATAGAGAGGAGGGTAAGTATCTCCCTGTTATACCACCAGCCATCACCAGGCACCCTGGTCTGCACCTCTGTCATGGTATAGACTCTAGCCCATGCAGTTTTCACTTTCTCAAGGAAATATTTTCATTGTCTATCAAATTTCCCCCAACCGTCTGCGTGACTACTGTTGAGTGCTGAGATGACCCTATGCATGAAGCAGTTGTCTCCCCTTCATCTCCATGTGATACACCCTCTCGGACTCGTAGTTCCATAGTAAATCTTTGAATAAGTAACAGACAACGTAGGACTTGTTAGCTCCGTAAACATTTATAGTTCTTAAGGCCTTTTTTCAATTTTGGGTTGTATTTTTAATACCCCAAAATTCAGGTCGGTTCTTCAGTAACAATATATAAAAGAAAACTTCCAATTTCCAATATATATTATATTTCCTCAAATTATTGTGTGCGTGTGTTGGGGGTTGATTAAGATAAATTTTCCACACATTTTATTTCTAGTCTTTTGAATAATTTATTTGTATTGATAGCATATATGGTAAATGGGAATTTTAACATTTGACTTATTTCTGCTTGACATTTTTCATTGGAATTTTTTTTCATTGTTCAGTTATATGGAGTTAGCAGTGCTTTAGAGTTTACATTATCAAGTAGTTGTGCACACTGAAATACATGTAGAGAACTTCTAGTTGATAGACAAAAGCACTTGATTTTATGTTGACAAGGACATTGTTGCACTGTGACACATTCGTCTGCTTCCTTATCATGGAATATCACACCATATCATCCACTGGGACAAGCACATTGTCTGCTTTGCACCTTTATATCTGCATCAGATTGCAAAAGGATTGAGTCATATTGTGTTAGTTGGAAATATAATATCTACCATTATCAGCAGCAGCAGCAGCATCACTGATCTCGTGCCAAGCGAAGGCATCAACAAGGACTTATCTACGATTACGTTAAACAATTGCTCTGGAGGGAATCATGGTTCAGAGAAACATTTATCAATTATTGACCACAGTTCGGGCAATCTTATATTTATGGACCCAAGAAACTGATATTGACCAAGGCTGCTGACCTCAGTGAATATTGTTTTATAACATAATTTAAAAAAACATGAATATTTCAAATTCATTAATAATTGAATAAGTGTTACGGTAAGCCGCAGGAGCTTTGTGTTAAGCTCTCTCTGATTGGCTGAAAATATTTTATTACTTTGAATCCACTGAGTTTGGATTGCTGTACGGCAGGGTGGGTCTCAGGGCAATACCGTGTGTTTACGAATATCATGTGACCCTTTCTCAACCAATGAAAATACAGATGTAATATGTAAATGTAATAAGTCTTAGTCTTTTTTACTTCATTACTGTGTAGCTAAAAAGGTTGTTTATTTTCAGAATTATAAGAAAGTTCGGTTCAGCAACAACCACATGGTACCGACGGACGTCCTGCAGCCACACTACCCCCTACACACGCAGTGGGAGGACTCCGAAGAGGAGGGGGAGGAGTCTGTTGTCTGACACCAGTTGTCATAGCAACAGGATTGTTACCTTGCCATCCTTTCAGGAAGTCCACACTGGTTGCCTTGACAACCAATCTGTTACCACACAGTGACTATGAACTCGATGAGCAGTTGCAGGGCAACTGTGAAGGATCATTTCAAAATATTCGCTGATTGTCATAGCAACAGATGGTTACCATAGCAACATGTGTTGAGGGAGGAATTGATCTGTTTCATTACACTGGCTTGGGGAAGAAGGTATTGTAGGTGGTTGATGAACTGACATTATCACCATGGAAACCGATCTGGCTGTGTAATGCAGGTTTTCTTCACCATGGAGTATATTGTAGTCATAGCAACCAGTAGCACACCTAGGCATTATATATACGATAGACATCTGACCTGTCATCATGTCATCTGTAGTGAAAACCAATGAGGGAGTATGATAGAGTTGATCACACTGTTGCTAGGCAACTGAGATGGTATATGCAGTTAGCCTACATTTGGTAGCTGGACTACTGTGGACAAAGTGTGCCAGGGGAGGCGTAGACGTTGCGTAGACGTTGCGTAGATGTTGCGTAGACATTGCTTAGGTACAGAGCAGCCATGACAAGGCTACATTTCAGTTGATGTACCGTTTTGTTTCACAAGCGTTGACATGATATACTTCGGCACAAGTCTTCACCAGCCCTAGCCTCACACGTGCTGCCCCAGGACAGCACACGCCAGGAAGCACACATCTCCACACGAGTCACGTGACAGTACTCAGTGGTCAGGATGCATGTATGGACAGGAAGTAGTACTCTGCACATGCTCACAAGCGGAGGAGCTGAAGGGGATGGACGTCTGTTGACCAGCTAGAGCCGTCTGTAGAAGATCGCCATACAAGGGCATTGACACGCAGCAGGGAATATGATTTAGTCAGGAAGGATGACACTATTGTACACACATAGCAATTTGTTGAAATGTTACTCTACCCACAAACAGTGCATTACGATTGATACCGCATAGAGTGGTTGTTATGCCAAGGTTTGTGTTAAGTGATGGGGTGTAACAATACAATGTTACAATGCACTGTGTTACAGGACACTGTTACAGAATATATTGATAGAAATTAGTTAAAATACGTAGCACGATAAAATTTTCAATTGGTAGAAACATAATGAACAAGTCCTATGACAATGTGTTCATGTTAAATTGTAAGAAGTATGAAATAATAAGACGGTTAATACACTACATTTTGCTGAATGTATTTAATGTTATTCCTGGATCAATCGTCCCTTCATTCAAGTAGCTCGATACAGGGGGGTGTATCAGATTTCATTCAGGGACTGGTGTCATGCATTCATCTAGGATGTTGCACCCCTGACAAATCAGCTGTTACATTTACATACCGGTAACTTGTATATATTATGTATTGGTATTATATGTCATACATCCTGTCTTGTAAAAATACCAACATGGAATTCTGTTTGAAAGGACCAGGGCCATTTCCACAAAGCAAACTTAGCGCTAAGTCGATCATAACTCCCAAACTTTAACATAGACCTACGACAGTTGTAGCACTAAGATTATCGTAACTCCCAAACTTTAACATAAACTTACAACAGTTGTAGCACTAAGATTATCATAACTCCCAAAGTTTAACATAAACTTTCAACAGTTGTAGCACTGAGATGATCATTACTCCCAAACTTTAACATAGACTTACGACAGTCGTAGCACTAAGGCAATCGTAACTCCCAAACTTTAACAAAGACTTACGACAGTTGTAGCGCTAGTATTGCTTTGTGCAATGGGCCCCAGACTTATAAAGATGTATTTTTCCCGTTCCTTTGAAATGTGGAGGTACAGGGTCACAGTGCTGGGGATGAAGGGAGAGAGATGTCTGTAAACCGGGTTGCTGCAAGCTCCACGATGCTGGCATGATGTACAGCAATTTGCGTCAGAACTTGAAATTTCTGCAGCATAATAAATTTTTAATTCCATTTTATCACATCCAGATTTTACAAATTTCTATGAAATTTGTTATTTTAGGTCGTCACAATCCTCAGTCCATCAGTCCTAGTTTCCCGGACTGCTACAGGTGTGGGGTACAGGGGAGGGGGAGGGGGAGGGAAGTCCTCGTGCTCTGAAGCAGCCAGAAGGGGGGCACGTTACACATGATGTTAACAATTTTGTGACATTCAAACAGAAAAGGGATCACTTTGTTCCTACCTCATTTGTTTCCAAATCTAAACTTGACTTACGTTGGACTTCACCACAGGTTAGCTGCTTGCACTGGAAGGATGTACATGTTTGTTCAGCGGGACGTGTTGTTTGAAGCAGACATAAAATCTGTGTGTATTCCCCAGTGTTGAGGAGGGCCATGTGGGCCTCCCACCTGCGTGTGACCCTTGTATAGAAGTAGAGCTCTGTATATAGATGTATACTGTGTATATGCATAATAACTACACAGGTAGACTGCAGATTAAGGTCGTACATGGGGGTTCTACCTGGATCTACCTGGCCGTTATTGTGGATATGCTCCAACAGGTAACTAACTTGCTATTGTTTATCAAATATCAAAAGACAAAAATATTTTTAATTTGTTCCGTCTGAAGATTAATTGTTGAAAATAGTTTTAATTAATAATTTGTTCTTAGTGAGGAGACATGAAGCCTTAATGAATTTGACCACAGATTTGTTACATTTAACGCATCTTGAACTGTGTGTGAAATGTTTTTGGAATCATTAAGTAGAAACAAGTGAGAGATGATGTGAAGGGCAGGATATGGTGGTGTAACCCTGTGTGGAGTTTGAGAGGCAGGCCATGTGTGGAGCCCCTGTGTATGATGGCCTTGACCTTGGCAGGTATTGTGATATGACTATTGTATTGGGTGTTGGTAAAAGTGGAATCCAGAAGTCTGTGATTTGAAGTTGGAGGAAAGGACTGAGTACTCTTGGAGAATGTAATACCATGATTTGTTTGTCTATAATATCGACTTGCTTCCTAAATTATTCCATTTATCTTATTTGGTGTCTTTGGGTGAACTTAATTCATGTATCCAGTTTCTTTTTCACCTGAATCTTCCCGTGCACACTGACAGTGTCTTTTGTGGTCTATGGTCCTGGAATGTGTACCTTATCATGAAAATCTCAGAATGCCAAATGCGACTTTTATCCCATTTTGCCAGGAAATATACAATCAATGAAACCTCCTCATCTTATGTTTGAGATGATGTGTAGGTGTAGCCTAGGAGTCGGGTACACTCAACTCCACATATGTCAACTCAAAGGGGCCGACAATAGCTGTTTGTTATTCGCCCCATTAATTTTTTTTTTATAGACTAGAATAAATAGCCAATAACTAGGGCGTTGTTCAAACTTTCACAAGTTGTCCGATGGCCTGGCTATGTTGCTTGTTACAATGGAGGAAACAGAAGCTGATGTGCGGGGATGGATTCTATACCTCCAGGTTACCCTTACAGGGGACTACATGACTACACCAATTCTAGGTAGTTATGAATCAAGTCTGGAAATGTACATCTTCCCGAGGCAAGAGAGTTAACTGACTTTAAAAGTCCAGTTTCCACCCTTGCCGAACTAGGCTGGAATTACTGGGCTCGATCGTAGTGCCACCAGTGGCTATTACCAATTATGTCCCTTCTTAGCCTCTCCTAAGGACCAATCGGATTCCACCTCTCGTATCACTTGCGTTTGCTACACAAAATGGTTGCGCCCGGTCAGGACGATCTGATCGATAATCAATATCTATATTGTGATAAAACGTGTCTTACATGGCGAAATGCATCAAATCACGTGAGCACCTTGATTAAAAACATGAGAAGATTTTGAAAATATCTGCTGACAACGAGTTGGTGGTGCATATGCTTTGCAAATCCTGCAATCGACCGAAATCTGCACGACAGTTTACGAACCGGATTTCAATTTTGGTGCGCAAATTTGATTGGACTATGCATAGACTCGTTAGTCCAGCCAAAATGTAACTCCATAATACCAGCCTAGTTCGGCAAGGGTGGAAACTGGACTTTTATAGTCAGTTAACTCACTTGCCTCGGGAAAATGGGAAATGTTCTGATACTAAATGTCTACCCAAATAAGTCACCTCTGGGGGGTGTGAGATGAGAAGCCACAGGGATCTTTCTGAAAGTGTATCTCAAGTTTACCGTTCATGGAGTTACTGAAGTCAGCCATTGTTAGCGATATGGATCCTTGTAAATGTTTGCGATGTCCAACCTCATGTATCCAGTGTCATCCTGATTTCTGCAGAGGTTAGAGTCCGTCAAGGCCCTGTGTTGGGTTCATGTCCCGCGGCCGACATTGCAGATGGTGTGTATATAGTGACTTGTACAGACTGTATAGACTGCTGTCGTTGGACTAGTGTTGTGCTTCTGTGTTGTGCTAGATGATGTTTACGACTGTACTAGCTTGCCACAGTGCTAGTTGCTCAGAGTAGCTGGTCTAGCTAGCTTGTCGTAGGTAGTCTTCAAGAAAGCATGTTTACAGTTTTAGGTAGTTGTTGAGAAAGTAGGTTTCTGGACATGGACGCAGTCATCAGGAAAGTAGGTTTATTGACACTGATACAGTCATCAGGTAAGTAGTATTATGGACATGGATGCAGTGGTCAGGAATGTAGTATTATGGACATTGACACAGTCATTAGGAAAGTAGTATTATGGACTTGGATGCAGTCGTCAGGAAATTAGGATTATGGACATTGACACAGTCATCGGGAAAGTAGGATTATGGACATGGACGCGGTCATCGGGAAAGTAAGATTATGGACATTGACAGTCATCAGGAAAGTAGGATTATGGACATTGACAGTCATCAGGAAAGTAGGATTATGGACATTGACAGTCATCTTGAAAGTAGGATTATGGACATTGACAGTCATCTGGAAAGTAGGATTGTGGACATGGATGCAGTCATCTGAAAAGTAGGATTATTGACATTGACAGTCATCAGGAAAGTAGGATTATGGACATTGACAGTCATCGGGAAAGTAGGATTGTGGACATGGACGCGGTCATCTGGAAAGTAGGATTTTGGACATGGACGCAGTCATCAGGAAAGTAGGATTATGGACATTGACAGTCATCAGGAAAGTAGGATTATGGACATTGACAGTCATCAGGAAAGTAGGATTATGGACATTGATAGTCATCAGGAAAGTAGGATTATGGACATTGACAGTCATCGGGAAAGTAGGATTGTGGACATTGACAGTCATCTGGAAAGTAGGATTATGGACATGGACGCAGTCATCAGGAAAGTAGGATTATTGACATTGATGAACCAGACTGTTCGACAATAATTCTGATGGCTCATGGAGTTGGTTGAGTGGGTAGCCTAATTGAAAGAGTGTTAGCTTGGCACCAGAATACCAGTTTTATTACCAAACATGGGTACACATTGTGAATCTGGTTCCTCTCTCCCTGCTTGGCAGTTGTGTTGCTCACTCTACTCACTCACTCACTGCATCAGCTGATCGCCCATGGAGGATGACTCTGTGAGGTTTCAGGTTGGAGTTATTCCGAAGGTGATGATGATATAGCATGGAATCTGTAGTAAAACACATGTTGGATTAGATGTTACAGAGTCACAATGGTAGCTCCTCGTATGACCTTTCATGAACGTTTCTCACATTCTCACTTCACCATTGTATTTCAAACTATTTGTTCATCTGTGAGCATGTATTGAAACAGTCTTAACAGGAACTACATACCTGCTTAAGAACCAATCATTTGATCTTGAGGGCAAGTTTACCAGGAATTGAGGGTAGGGCTACGAAGACTTTACCCAGGAACAAGGTTCAAAGAAATTTGACCTTGACAAACTCTTTTTACGTGTAATTGATGCAGAAAGAATTCTCATTTGACTGGTAAAACATTTTGTTGACAGAATAATTAAAAAAAGCAATTTTGAACAATGATCTGAGCTCATCTTGAAGAAATTGATGGTTTTCCCTTGCAGAGCAAACAGTGGCTGTGTTGATCTCAGGTCTGGTGGGAGATGTCTACTATTTCCATCATTTACCCTTGCATCAAACAAATGCATTTATCAATCTGTGCAATATTTTTCATAATGTTGATTTTCTACATCTCTTTTTAATTTGAAAAATGATATTTTCAGATTTAGAATCTTGTCTCCTAGTGAGCCTCATTGCCTCCTTTGTATAAGTACCCTTTAGTCCTCCCGAGTATAAGGCCACCCAGGTTCCATAGATACATATACCGACTGGGCTTATTCCCAAGACAAAATGCTATGCTGTGAACAAAGGTTAAGAGAATCTTGTCCAGAGTGGTCTTCTGAGTGCCCTGTGGACACTACAAGGCCATGCTGGCCCAACCCACTTTGATATATACATCTACCGGGCTTACTCCAACCAACCGGGCTTACTCCCCAGAGAAATGTCCTTGTCTTTATTCTCGATATTGAAAGGCCACAAGCAGGTAGTACAAGGAGAATGTCCATGGGAACACTTCCAAGACAAGAACTAGTCTAAACTGCATGGCCACACCTAGTTACCAGAAACAGGCTCTTACAACATGGTTTAATGTGAAACTACCATCACTGATGGTTGAGCGAGATGTGTTAACTAGGACATAATCTGGTGTATTGTATTCTGATTCGTGTTATATGTCACTCAACGTTTGATAGGAATACTGAATAAATGAATAATAGAATATCCTTATCAAAAGTTGAGTAGTATGTTATTTACTGATAATTCAGTCTTTAAAATGTGCTTGTTTTTCTTTATTTTGTTTTGTTGATTGTTTTGAATTTTGCCAACAATATGTTGGTAAATAGTTGGTACTTGCATTTTAGGTTTTAATATATTTGTGGTGAGTGGAAGAAGGTTATCACACATGATACATCTGAAGCCAGGGAATGGAGACGGGCCTATTTGTTATGTTGACATTCTGTTGCTCAAGTCTTGTTCTGTTTGAACCAAATCCATATGTGTATTTTACTTGTTACACAATATTTAGCAGTTTGGATTTGCGACATTTTCATTTTCAATCAACTAGAAACTTGATACATGCGGGATTCATTTTAATATATGTTTATGGTCTGAGTATGTTATAAGCACAAGGCTCATGCTGCTGCTTTAGCCTCATTCAGGGCCAGTATCTCATCTGTTCCCTCCCTGATTATGGATCTCAGCTAATGTATAACACATGTTATCCCCTTGAGTTGTCTTCAAGGAAGTGCAAATGCCAGTGTTTCTTCATTCTGCTCCTTTGACCATATTTGGCAGCATCAGTTGACCTGCATTTCCCCAGCTTCAGTAAACAAGTTTAGGGCTAGGCTACACTGAGCTACTGTACAACCAGCCCTGCTGTGAAGACATTAAACACTATCCACCTGCATGGTGCATTTTCAGAATTCATTTTTCTTATTTATATAATCTTATGGACAATACTGAGTCCGCCTTGTCTCTTGTGAGTTATTTACACATATGCCATGATATACCTTACTCTCACCCTTCGTGCCATCCTCCCCAATCAGGGGAAACAACCTCTCACTGCTGTCCTAAGTACCCTGGCAGATATATGTTAAGACTGGAAGCTCATACTGAGCTGTATCTGTGGCCATTTTTCATCCATATTTGAAGCATATCAAAATAGCTTGTGTCAATCTATTTGCAGAATTTCATTTGAAATGACAGTTTGAATTATATTATGTGTTGTTGATATTTTGGATTTATTGAAACCATTTGGATATTGTTCATGTTCTATAATAATTTAGACTCCAATGCCACAGATTTCTCATGTTTACAATCTCATTTAAATCGGATCATAGTTCTCACTACAGCTAGCGAGAACTAAAATCTGATTTGAATGAGATTGTCATATTTATTAAATCTGAATACATGGTTGAGGCTGTGCCAGCGAGAGTTGTTTCCCTTGGCGGTGGATATGGCGTCATATACCAGTGATGTCTTGTATCCAATGTGTACGTTCTATCCGCGGCCAGCAGCCCACTATAGCAATACACTACAATGTACAACAATGTTCCAGCATTGTCTATGCACCACAATCGTTAACCATGTAACTATGCATGTGTGGTTCCTATACATATTTCAATATTCTATATAGTAGGATTACCTCGGTGTTGTGGCGGTGCATTCGTTATTTGTCAATTTGTCAATTTGTCATGTGCTATAAATAAAAGAAATACACAAATTAGATGGTTTTGTAGGATCATCTGTTGTTCCGGGGATAAAAAACCAAAGGGCTGACGACAGATAAGGTCATGGCAAGATGAGGAGTGTTTCTATTGTTTCTTGACGCACCCCTGTGACCTTTATTGTGTATGTTGCGTCCTCTGCATGGTATGGATGCAATACGGACTAAACCACATGTGCATTAAATACTATCTTGATACTTTAATAAACTGGCGGGAAGACTAGGGTAAATATGCGGTGTAATGTGTTTAGTGTAAGAAATATAGTGGCACCCCATTACATCTTACTGCTGTGCAGCTCGAAAGAGGATTGAAATTGCAAAACATTTCACCACAACTTGTAAAGAGTTAGTGACTTTCGTTGAACATCGCACTGTGAACAGTATTTTAGTTATGCCATAGCATGTCAGCTTAATGTGGGAGGAAGGCCCGAAGTGATGCAGGTCTTAGACGTTTACCACGAGCCACAAAACCCACGAGCACGGGTATGGGGCTGACGAACCTAGAAACATAATCAGGGCGGACGAGGATTCGAACCTACTATAAGAACACAATTCAAATTCTTGAAATTTTGAAGTTTTCTAGAAATCCTATGGGGCCCATCAAACTCTCAGACACAGGTATCTTTGTCTACGAGTATATGCAATCCTGCCTGGTTGGAATAAGGATTCCCTTCAACACATAACATACCCCACGATAGTTGGACTAAACTTTATTTATAGAACAAAATGCCCTAAATACAAACCTACTATCAAATGAAACAGATTTTGTTGATCATTCACGCATCAACAAAGATTGATAAGGTATCACAGATTTCTTTCAGTAAACTGAACAAATTTAGTCAGAAACATGACGTCATAATGCATCTAGACATCCGTCGGGGCATCCCGGAAACTGTCGATGTCACACGGTTCGCCCGTCGCAGGCAGTGAATGCTGTTTATACATAAGGCGAAATATGTCGCCAGCAGAGACCACGATTGGTCTGCTTGGTTGCATCACTCCTACAGAGAGTTGATGTAGCAGCTTCTGTTCTGAAATTCGCCGATAGGTGCCCTTCACTGAGCAGGTGACTAAATGTTTCAGAGAGAAGTAGTCTGAGTGACCAGGTATGTTAAACGTTTGAGTACATATATATATACATACCAATATCACCAGATTCCCGTCAACCCTTCTACTGGCGGTATGATAACAGGTATAACACGTTGCATAGAAACAAATTGTAAACATCCGCGAAACGACATCAATGAAAAAATAAACAAAATATAAAGCTATATATTACAATTTCTACATTTCAATCCCATACCATTATGTGCATATATTAGACATTACAAAAATAATGCATGGATAATTCTAAAGGAATTCACTGCTTAGCCCTACATACACTTCTCTTAATATTAACACCAACAGTCATCATTAAAACGTCCTCACATCGTCTCTTCAGTAGGTTGTCGTCAGCACGTGCCGTCCGCCATTTTGTTACTGCTGACCTGTCAAGATTGGAATGCCTCGGTCCATGCGGGACACATCAGCACACACTGTTACCGTATACCATGTTGCTAGCCAATGTAGCCTGGGGAGGCGCTGATGTTGCGGCTAGTTTGAGATTGTTCCATTTGGAAACCTTTATCTTATTCTAGGTTCGCACGAGCACTTCAGTACATCGTCAATTTTGTACATGACGCCATTGGTCGCCATTTGCTCAACAGGCTTCACTCTCTTCCTCTTATTGACCATGATGTCATTCCGATAATCTCGCGAGAAGTCGATCTTGTCTCCTTGCCGTGACTTGATGGTGTAGACTGAGTGTTTCTTGGGAATGGCGCACTTGACGACCATTCGGTTCACAATGTGTCGCTCCAGGAACTGGGAACAAAAACGTTTATATAATTATATCATAGAGTCATACAACGCAGTCAGATAATCTAACCAATGATATAAATGTTATATCATACAGTTATACATTGCAGTCAGTTACATATAACAAACGATCTGAATATCAAGTCTGAAAACTACACCTTGATTTGATGAAACAAGTCGATGTGATCCTATTGTCAGTGAAGCATGGTTGATACCGACATCAGGCGCTACCAGCTTCTACCCTTTCTCTGACAAAGTCGCTCCTGACGCAAGGTAACTGCACGGTGAGGTTAACATTGAGTCACTGGGGTGACAATATTTGAAGATTCTATTCATTACATTGTTTTGTAATATACACTAGAAAGGAGCCCAAAGAATCCATTCATACTGACACAATTTAGACCTGCCAAACTATAACAGACTTGCATGGGATGGCTCGGATGTTGTTGTCTCAGGATGGGTATGAGACTGTGTGCCTTCATCTAGCCCATCACTAGAGGAGCCATTGTCCAGCTGTTTAATGCGTTATATTCGCTGTGCAAGTTTATTCCCTTGCACGTGCCAGGATCCGTGACCGTTGGTTCGTATTTCGATGTTCCCCGATAACATGTACGCATGCGCATGGGTTTAAAAAAAGTGGTGACATATCTCTGATCTGGCTGTTAGACCGGCAGCCCAGAGCACTTTGGTCAAACGAACAAGGTACCAATATCCGAACACAGGAACATTTACTGTGTAACCCAACATATTCATATATGGATGTCTGCCGGGGAGCCCCTGCTGCGTGTGGCCCCTGGCCCCCCAAAAGAAGGGGCCATTCAAGGGCTGGATCAAACATTGGAGGTACCACGTGAAAGTAAGTGTAAATGAACTGTTACATCTCACAGAGTACAGAATGGGCCACGCCAGACAAATCTTCCTCTGCAAAAGGCCTGCCAGACACCCCCAAAGAGGGTCCCAAAATTTGGGCTGGGTTAACCATTGGAGGTACCACATGAAATCAACATAAAATGAACTATTTCACTCTACTAAGAATAAAAAACCCATTGCCAGACAAATCGTCTGCTGCATAAGGCCCGCCAGACACCCCCAAATGTTGACCCTTAATGCACTCAGTGGACACTCTGGTAAAATTTGACCAGAGTATACATTCAAAGTACCAGATGAAAGTAAGTTTAGATCAACAGGTACATGTTACTGAGTACAACACGGCCCATACCTGACAAATTGTCCTCTGCATAAGGTCCGCCAGACCCCCCAGAGAGGGTCCAAAAATTTGGGCTGGGTTAAACATTGGAGGTACCACACTGGGGGGTCGCGCCTTCAGATTATAACAATTGCAATACAAACCAGGGGGGCCCAAGAAACAGGTTCTCATGATCTGCAAGTATAATCATATTAATTCTAGTTCAAGTGGGAAATCACGCCATTAAGATAATTACAATGCCAAGACAAAACAGGGTGTGTCAAAGGAAGGTTTCTCACGACCTTCATGTATGATCATGTTTATTCAGTTCAAAGTGTTTTATGACTTGATAAATGCTTCAAGTTATATTGTGATTATTACGTCAGTAGCACTATTATTAAGATTTCATATTTGCATTCAGAGGTTGGCAGAAAAGAAAAGGCTAGGTGTGGTTTGGAAACGGCTTTTCTTTCAACAAAAGAATTCACATTTGCTTGAAAACACAGCTCTATGGTAACAATTATATGGGAATTTATACAAAATTCAGTCAATCGTGACAGATCAACAATTGCTTGTTTAGAATTTTGTGTTGTGGAAAACACCCTGAATGGATCAGGTTAATGCAACCTTTCTTGGCATTTTACCGGGAGGTAAGAAAAGTTTTCCCGGGAAGCTTGATGTCGATTTCTCGAGAGAAGTGACGTGCTCGTCACACACCTCAGAAAAAAAGAAGTTAAATTTATTGTGTATGGCTTTCCCTTCTTTATTGAGGGTATTCAAAAACAGATATATATATATATATATATATATATATATATATATATATATATATATATATATATATATATATATATATATATACATATGTACACTAGGTCATCCTGGGATAGAAGTCTAAACTAAACACATTTAACCGTGGCACAGCTCACGCGCCAATATCATGACTCTCTGTCTAGTGTAAGACGTTTATTCAAACAGATAGATGGCAAATCTGAGACGTAAGGCCTTGTGAACATTTAGATATATAGTGGAGGTTTCATAACAGATATTTGAGTATTGAAATCAAAACCATGTCACATTATGAACATACATTTACATTTAACAACAAGAACAAAATCATAAAACATGATGGGTAATTACATTTCACATTTGGTGGTGCGATAGTTTTGACGAGGTGAATATCAGAAACGGCCCTTCTCTTTTGAACAGAAAAATATTTTTGTATCCAACCGTGACACTCCGAGAAAAGTTGTGAAGATCAGGACGAAAATACATCAAGAATAGAACATTCATCTTTTCGTGTCACCAAACCCTGTTCATCTCTTTCCGTGACCTGACAAACTTGATATTTTCACACAGGTCTGTGCCACAATTTTGTTAGGTTTCTCGATACGATAAACTTTTCGGGACCGACCATAAATATGGAAATATTTGGCCGGAATTCAGCTTTTTAGATGATAAAACTTGCTAAATAAACGGAGATCATAGGTTTTTAAACACAATTATCACCAAAAGATTTCCAAATGGTATTAGGGACTGTCATTTACCATTCTTATAGCAGGCTTTGAGGACTACCTAAGCATGTTTGGGTTTGTAGGAATCCATAGCCAAGCTATCAGGCTATAGCAGGCTTTGAGGACTTCACAGCTGATCAGATATATATTCACAAGAATCAGATTCATGCCTTTTTTTATTACATTTCAACGATAGGCCTAATCTATGATATCAATACTAGTATTCAGAGACCTGATTTTATAAATACGTGATTTTAATCTCAATAAAATCCTCCCATCTTTAAGAACAAAACATAAATTTGACCATCTGTTGACTCTCAGAGCTGATGTCCAATGTTTCATTATGCACACTGGGATTACAGAGGGTCAACTGTGTGGGGTGGGGTGAGGGTGTGTCTAGCGGGCCTTATGCAGAAGAGGATTTGTCAGGCAATGGGTATTTTGTAATAAGTAGAGTGTAATAGTTCATTTTATGTTGGTTCCATGTGATACCTCCAATGTTTAAGCCTTATGCAGAGGAAGATTTATCTGGTGTGGCCCATTCTGTACGCTGTGATATGAACCTGTTCATTCAAATGTACCTTAATATGGTACAATCGATATATATTCCAGACCAATTTTACCCGTGTATACCTGAAGGGTCAACTTTTTGTGGGTGTCTGGCGGGCCTTATGCAGAAGATGATTTGTCTGGCAATGGGTATTGTGCAATAAGTAGAGTGCAATTGTTCATTTTATGTTGGTTTCATGTGGTACCTCCAATGTTTAACCCAGCCCAAATTTTGGGACTCTCTCTGGGGGGTCTGGCGGACCTTATGCAGATGACAATTTGTCAGGTATGGGCCGTGTTGTACTCAGTAACATGTACCTGTTGATCTAAACTTACTTTCATCTGGTACTTTGAATGTATACTCTGGTCAAATTTTACCAGAGTGTCCACTGAGTGCATTAAGGGTCAACATTTGGGGGTGTCTGATGGGCCTTATGCAGCAGACGATTTGTCTGGCAATGGGTTTTTTATTCTTAGTAGAGTGAAATAGTTCATTTTATGTTGATTTCATGTGGTACCTCCAATGGTTAACCCAGCCCAAATTTTGGGACCCTCTTTGGGGGTGTCTGGCAGGCCTTTTGCAGAGGAAGATTTGTCTGGCGTGGCCCATTCTGTACTCTGTGAGATGTACCAGTTCATTTACACTTACTTTCACGTGGTACCTCCAATGTTTGATCCAGCCCTTGAATGGCCCCTTCTTTTGGGGGGCCAGGGGCCACACGCAGCAGGGGCTCCCCGGCAGACATCTATATATGAATATGTTGGGTTACACAGTAAATGTTCCTGTGTTCGGATATTGGTACCTTGTTCGTTTGACCAAAGTGCTCTGGGCTGCCGCTCTATGTCCCTGTACGGCATGACCAAGGGAAGCAACTCTGCACGGCACGTTAAGGAGTTAACCCCATTACCACCATGGTGGTCGTAGAGGTGAGGGCGCAATATTACTGCTGGTCCACCACTGAACGGTCAAGACCCAGGGCCAAGACACGACACTCCTGAGTCGACATAGGGGGGTGCCAACCGCTCCCCCGCCCCCCGCCCCCCGCCCCCCATCTAAGTCTTCACTCGGAGGCTCGTTGCTCACCCCTGAGTCCCGAACACTACTTTGCACAAATGTCATTAAATCACTGAACTTATATCTACAAATTAAATTTACAAAGGACATGGTTGACTCATTGTACCAAATACGATTTTATTACCGTCCCTCTCACAACACTGCTGAGTCCCGAATATCCTCTATAGCCCCCGAATCCCGCGAACCAAAAGGGGGTTTGTAGCCTCGCATAGAGGTGTTCCGTGAAACCCCCTCTCTTCCCGGATTGTGTTCAACCTGATACCACACCAAACCGGAGTGGGAGATTTTAGACTGATGTCTGCCTCGTCATACAATTAATTTGAGAGGCGACACGTTGACATATGAGAGAATGACAAGAGTGAGTGAGGTTTTACGCCGCTTTGAGCAATATTCCAGCAATATCACGGCGGGGGACACCACAAATGGGCTTCACAAAGTGTACCCATGTCGGGACTCGAACCCGGGTCTTCGGAGTGACGAGCGAATGCTTTAACCACTACCCGGGCGCCCCGAATGACAAGAGAGAAGGATCTGCTTTCCAGTCTCCAGTCTCCAGTCTCCATAGCAACTGTGACAGCAGCAGCCATATCGTCTACGATATGTAAGGAAATCAGTCTCTTTGACCTGACGAATCCCATACATGTATACACGCAGATATAAAACTGTTTGTTTTGTATCTCTCACCAAAAATATAAGATTTAAAACCACTCAGAATGCTCAACGAATCACCCTTTGATATTTACAAGTTTATTCCACAGCAGCGTTGTTTACAGGTAGTTTGTGTATATTAGTTAAACACGAGGAAGCCTTCTTCCACACACAGACAGGGGTTGTATACAGATCCAGTTTACAGTCTGAATGTGGAGTTCATGATGAGTCACTCACCTTCTTTAAACGGTCGGGGTTGGTGAGGAGTTGGTCCAGGTTCCGTTGACTCATGGAGTCGAACGCTCTGTTCGTGGGGGCCAGGAGGGTCAGCTGGACCGGCGTGGACAACAGCTGACTCAGCCCCGCCGTCTCCACAGCCTGCCGCAGGGTGCTGGCGATACACAAGAAGTGAGTGAGTGAGGGAGGGAGTTTAACCCCGCTATAACAAATTGACGTCCTGACGTGACGCTTGTCGTAGACGTTATGTTTGTTTTGCCGTTAACGTCGCTCTAAGCAATATTCCAGCTACATGATGGCGGTCTGTAAATAATCGAGTCTGGACCAGACAATCAAGTGATTGATATCATGAGCATCGATCCACGCAATTGGGATACGATGACATGCATCAACCAAGTCAGCGAGCCTGACTACCCGATCCCGTTAGTCGCCTGTTACGACAAGCATAGTTGCCTTTTACGGCAAGTTGACTCGCATGAGCACGTGATCTATTGTTTGTTTGTTTCTGTGTTTAACGCCGCACTCAGCAATATTCCAGCTATATGACGACGGACTATAAGTAATCGAGTTTGGACCAGACAAGCTTTGTCGTAGACGTATATACCACTTCGGTGAACGCACCCAGGCCTAGTGTGCATACAGAGGATCACAATCACTTTACACGACGTGTAAGGGAGGAAGGATTACACAAACACTTTCAGTTTTCATCTGAAGATCCACCCGCTTCCAAACTGAGACTTCGTCAACAAAACCCGTGTTGACATAATATATCCCACCGAGGCACGCAAAAACGGGTTTTCGAGCGAACTCTTTAACCACTAGGCTTTACCATTGCCAAGTCCCAGCAAGTGATGTTTGTTTGTTTGTTGTTTAACGCCGCACTCAGCAATATTCCAGCTATATAACGGCGGTCTGTAATCGAGTCTTGACCAGACAATCCAGTGATTGACATCATAAGAATCGATATACGCAATTGGGATACGAAGACATGCATAGCAAGTGATATGACGACGGGGGAGTGGATCAAAATGATCATCGGAACAGGGTTGTCTCCCCTTGCATGTTCAGAAACAAGTGAGGCTTCTGGTTGTTATGGTGACTGCATGTAGAATTATTACTATCATTATTATTGTGATTAGTATACCTGAGTTCGGGGTCCGCCATCACCTGGCCCATGAGGGTGTCCTCTGGGGGCATGAGTACCGTGTCTATCTTGTGTATCACTCCGTTCCCACACACCTTGTCCTTGTCCAGGACCTTCGCATTGTTGATGGCCACACCCTGAAAGTAGTCCCCGCATGGAGAAACACTCACAACGTCACTCGTCGGCGCAGCGTGGGGCCTAGCCCAGAAAAGCAGTCCCCACATGTAAAACAACGTCAATCGTCGGAGCAGCGTTGGGCCCAGTCCAGACAAGTAGTCCCCACATGTAAAACAACGTCAATCGTTGGAGCAGATTTGGGCCAAGCCCAGACAAATAGTCCCCACATGTAAAACAACGTCAATCGTCGGAGCAGCGTTGGGCCCAGTCCAGACAAGTAGTCCCCACATGTAAAACAACGTCAATCGTCGGAGCAGCGTTGGGCCCAGTCCAGACAAGTAGTCCCCACATGTAAAACAACGTCAATCGTCGGAGCAGCGTTGGGCCCAGTCCAGACAAGTAGTCCCCACATGTAAAACAACGTCAATCGTCGGAGCAGATTTGGGCCAAGCCCAGACAATTAGTCCCCACATGTAAAACAACGTCAATCGTCGGAGCAGCGTTGGGCCCAGCCCAGAAAAGTAGTCCCCACATGTAAAACAAAGTCAATCGTTGGAGCAGATTTGGGCCAAGCCCAGACAAGTAGTCCCCACATGTAAAACAAAGTCAATCGTTGGAGCAGATTTGGGCCCAGCCCAGAAAAGTAGTCCCCACATGTAAAACAAAGTCAATCGTTGGAGCAGATTTGGGCCAAGCCCAGACAAGTAGTCCCCACATGTAAAACAAAGTCAATCGTTGGAGCAGATTTGGGCCCAGCCCAGAAAAGTAGTCCCCACATGTAAAACAAAGTCAATCGTTGGAGCAGATTTGGGCCAAGCCCAGACAAGTAGTCCCCACATGTAAAACAAAGTCAATCGTTGGAGCAGATTTGGGCCCAGTCCAGACAAGTAGTCCCCACATGTAAAACAAAGTCAATCGTTGGAGCAGATTTGGGCCAAGCCCAGACAAGTAGTCCCCACATGTAAAACAAAGTCAATCGTTGGAGCAGATTTGGGCCCAGCCCAGAAAAGTAGTCCCCACATGTAAAACAAAGTCAATCGTTGGAGCAGATTTGGGCCAAGCCCAGACAAGTAGTCCCCACATGTAAAACAAAGTCAATCGTTGGAGCAGATTTGGGCCCAGCCCAGAAAAGTAGTCCCCACATGTAAAACAAAGTCAATCGTTGGAGCAGATTTGGGCCAAGCCCAGACAAGTAGTCCCCACATGTAAAACAACGTCAATCGTCGGAGCAGCGTTGGGCCCAGTCCAGACAAGTAGTCCCCACATGTAAAACAACGTCAATCGTCGGAGCAGCGTTGGGCCCAGTCCAGACAAGTAGTCCCCACATGTAAAACAACGTCAATCGTCGGAGCAGCGTTGGGCCCAGTCCAGACAAGTAGTCCCCACATGTAAAACAACGTCAATCGTCGGAGCAGATTTGGGCCAAGCCCAGACAATTAGTCCCCACATGTAAAACAACGTCAATCGTCGGAGCAGCGTTGGGCCCAGTCCAGACAAGTAGTCCCCACATGTAAAACAACGTCAATCGTCGGAGCAGCGTTGGGCCCAGTCCAGACAAGTAGTCCCCACATGTAAAACAACGTCAATCGTCGGAGCAGCGTTGGGCCCAGTCCAGACAAGTAGTCCCCACATGTAAAACAACGTCAATCGTCGGAGCAGATTTGGGCCAAGCCCAGACAATTAGTCCCCACATGTAAAACAACGTCAATCGTCGGAGCAGCGTTGGGCCCGGCCCAGAAAAGTAGTCCCCACATGTAAAACAAAGTCAATCGTTGGAGCAGATTTGGGCCAAGCCCAGACAAGTAGTCCCCACATGTAAAACAAAGTCAATCGTTGGAGCAGATTTGGGCCCAGCCCAGAAAAGTAGTCCCCACATGTAAAACAAAGTCAATCGTTGGAGCAGATTTGGGCCAAGCCCAGACAAGTAGTCCCCACATGTAAAACAAAGTCAATCGTTGGAGCAGATTTGGGCCCAGCCCAGAAAAGTAGTCCCCACATGTAAAACAAAGTCAATCGTTGGAGCAGATTTGGGCCAAGCCCAGACAAGTAGTCCCCACATGTAAAACAAAGTCAATCGTTGGAGCAGATTTGGGCCCAGTCCAGACAAGTAGTCCCCACATGTAAAACAAAGTCAATCGTTGGAGCAGATTTGGGCCAAGCCCAGACAAGTAGTCCCCACATGTAAAACAAAGTCAATCGTTGGAGCAGATTTGGGCCCAGCCCAGAAAAGTAGTCCCCACATGTAAAACAAAGTCAATCGTCGGAGCAGCGTTGGGCCCAGTCCAGACAAGTAGTCCCCACATGTAAAACAACAACATCTTTTCATTCGTGTAGCGTGCGTGATAAGGCCACTCATACGACTATAATTATATAGTGTATATACCCCATACAGGACCTTATGTACAGCATCTTATGTACAGAGTTGTACAAATGTATCTACCACTTGTACACACGTGTACAAATGTACCTATCTTATTACAGGAATGTACAAATGTACCTACCCCCCTGTAGATGCTGATTTTGATCTTGGCTGACAGACCGAGGTTGGTGTTGATGTCTTGGTCCCCCACCAGTTTGTCGGAGGTGATCTTCCCCTTCATGGTGTGGTAGTCCATCAACTTCTCCATGGCTAGAGGCTGCGTCCGCAACGCCGCCAGATACTCCGACGGCAGCTCTACCACACCGACAGTGAATATCATGATTAAATTGGACTCAAAGCCCTAATCAAATTTTGTTAGTTTGCTGTTTCACGATGCACTCAGAATATTCCAGTTATGTGACGGCAGTCTGTAAATAATCGAATCTGGACCAGAAAATTCAGTGATTGACGCCATGAGCATCGATTTACGCAACTGGGATACGATGACATGCATCAATCAAGTCGGCAAGCCTGACCACTCGATCCCGTTAGTCGCCTCTTAGGACAAGCATGGGTTGCAGAAGACCAATTCTAAAGCACACTGACATTGAATACGATGATTAAATTGGACTCGAATCAGCTAATCGGGAAAGCGGATCAAATAATTTATTTTATGTAATTGATGTTTATACTTCATGTAGGAAGAGTACAAGTGAGTGAGTGAATGGTGTTTGCGCCACATTCGGAAGCAACCAGATTTATCATTGTGGGCATTAGATAACAGCGTTCTGGTCAGGTGAACGAGTGGTTGATAACAAGAGCGCTTATCTACGCTAGTTTGACAGACAATCAGCATGGTCACACATCGTAACCACTTGATCCTTGACCCGTGAAGATTCCGGGGTAGAATAGGTCTTCAGCAACCCTTGCTTGCCGTAAAAGGCGACTATGCTTGTCGTAAAAGGCGATTAACGGGATCGGGTGGTCAGGCTCGCTGACTTGGTTGATACATGTCATCGATCCAAATTGCGTGGATCGATGCTCATGATGTCAATCACTGGATTGTCTGGTCCAGACTCGATTATTTACAGACCGCCGTCATATAGCTTGAATATTGCTGAGTGCGGCGTTAAACAACAAACAACAAACACACTCGATCCTCATTTTGTGCGGGTCTTACGTCCAACAAGGGGTACTGGGGATATATTGAAGTATAACAGTTGAAGCAAGTATCATAATAATTTTAATAATGATAATAATAATAAAAAAATTTAATAAAATAGACTAAAATAGAAAATAGAATTGACGTAAATGCACTGAAATAAAATGTCGATGACCACCCCAACCCTCCACCCCCCTTCCCAATAATAAAAATTAAATGTCAAAAGGGGTCAATTCCAATCGCATTAAAGTCAGGTCTTAGTTCTTGCTGCCGTTAAACAAAGATCTGAGGATATCCCACGTCGTTCTGGCGTGACCCGTAATGGGATGTCTTCAGATCTTTGTTTAGAGGTAGCGAGAACTAATATCTGATTTTATTTAGATTGGATCAGTTCACGCCCTCAGGCGTGCCCTTGAATGTAATATGTGTTCCGGTCCAGTGCCTCACTCTTAAAGGCGCTGTCCGTGGGCGCCAGCAGGGTCACCTCCTTCTTGCCCGTCAGTCGGTCCGTGACCTTGGCCTGATTCGCCAGGTCCATCAGCGTGTTCAGCTTCAACTCCCTCGCAACCTCAGCCACCTCCTTCACTGCAACATCGACAACGGAGACAATGATGTATACATCACAGGAAGAGAATCATAGAGAAGTTGTCAGGAGTAAATTGTAGTTTCCCGACTCCAAGGAGAGATTAATTTAAAGAAGCTTCCCTATTCCTGGCAAAGATTTAAGAAGTTTCCCGATTCCTGGCAAAGATTTAAGAAGTTTCCCGATTCCTGGCAAAGATTTAAGAAGTTTCCCTATATCTGGCAAAGATTAAAGAAATTTCCCAATTCCTGGCAAAGATTTAAGAAGTTTCCCGACTCCTGGCAAAGATTTAAGAAGTTTCCCGATTCCTAACAAAGATTTAAGAAGTTTCCCGATTCCTGGCAAAGATTTAAGAAGTTTCCCAATTCCTGGCAAAGATTTAAGAAGTTTCCCGATTTTTTGCAAAGATTTAAGAAGTTTCCCGACTCCTGGCAAAGATTTAAGAAGTTTCCCGATTCCTGGCAAAGATTTAAGAAGTTTCCCGATTCCTGGCAAAGATTTAAGAAGTTTCCCAATTCCTGGCAAAGATTTAAGAAGTTTCCCGATTTTTTGCAAAGATTTCAGAAGTTTCCCGATTCCTGGCAAAGATTTAAGAAGTTTCCCGATTCCAAGCAAAGATTTAAGAAGTTTCCCGATTCCTGGCAAAGATTTAAGAAGTTTCCCGATTCCTGGCAAAGATTTAAGAGAAACTTGATTGTAACGTGCAGTTCCTTAAGTTTTAGTGTGTGGTTTTTACCACTGAAACCCGTTTTAGTAGGCTAGTATTTTCTCGCGTGCTTTATTTTGTTTCACCTTACACCTATTCATAAATGCCATTTAATTTCATTTTGGAAAATGATTTCATTACGAGTATTTATTGTTTTCAACATATTTTGTCACTACACTGTGTCCACAGACGGATCGTATCCAATGTGTACGGACAAGGCATGTTGGTTAACGCGCCATCACGTGGTTGGTGTTGCTATGGAAACCTCGGAAAGTCCTTTGCTACATGACATGGGGATAACAAGCCAGTATTTGTAGATGTGATATACCCTCATAAACAGCCCCTTGTTCGGTTCAGCGTAACCCATGATACAGGCGATCCGTTTGGGGAATATTTGTTCCGTTTCTTGAAGAGAACTTGATAAACTCGGCATTTTATTTTTAAAACATTATCAAACAGCAGTAAAGTTTCCATGCTTCTTAAACTCAAGGCCTCGGCATTTTAAGGGAGTTGGCATGTTTTGATAGTGGTCTCTACCCAAGTCGCCGTCCAACCCAGCCTGGTGTAGGTTATAGAGGATTGGAGATGGAGTGCCGATAAGCTTCTCTTAAATGGAAACAGCTTTCTTATTGTTGACGTAAAGCGTTGAATTAATTTTTTATTTTATTTCAGCTTTGATATGACCCTTGGGATTAATTACTGTCAAATTATGTGGTGTTTAATAATTGGATTGCAAGTATCTTCAAAGTTACGCACGCCTATGTTGATTGAGTCTTGATTATGGGATTGTGTGGGGACATATTTAATTCGTTCGCTATATGAGATCAAATGGGTTTATCAGCTAATTCGAACGCTGTACCGCCCATACTGAGGCCACGTGGCATTGCAGGAAGTAGTCCGCCGTGCTGCCCACGGGGATGTATTGTCATAGAGGGTGTTGGTGGCATTGCGCCACGTGTGACGAACAGGAGCCAGTTCATTCACTCCCAGGCAGGGATATGCTCTATATACTGCCCCAAGCATGATGACATGGAGTACGAGCCTTGTCTGCATTTAGAGAGTGAGTGAGTGAGTTGGGTTTAACGCCGCTTTTAACAGTATTCCAATTATATCGCGGCGTGTCAGCTTGATGTGGGAGGAAAGCCCGAAGTGAAGCAGGCTCAGACGTTTACCACTTCGGTGAAACCCACGAGCACGGGCATGGTGCTGACAAACCTAGAAACATAATCGGGGCGAACCGGGATTCGAACCCACAATCATAGGTTCCTGGCGTGCCTAAGGGACGCAACTCTGAACAGCGAATCGCGGCGCTTTGGAGAACTGGGCCACCCGTGCCCCCGTCTGCAATTAGGGGCAAACACGGTGCAGAGGCACAGAATTAAAACAAATTGAATTTAGAAGCACAGCAGGAGAAGAGGTTGAGCAGAGCAGATGTAAAGCAAACACGAAGCAGAGAAAATACAGAGGTGAAAATGAGGAAGAGTGAAGCGACAAGGGCGCAAAGCAGAGCCAGTGACCATAAAATAGAGGGTCTGGGTGATGGTATCTGGCCGAGCCATCACACAAGCAAAGGAAAGGTACGGGTAAAGCAAAACAGAGTAACAGTATAGATAAGCAGCGCAAAGAAATGCTGACGTACATCAAGGCCATTCGAAAGTTAAGCACACAGAGGTGGGCCAGGGGCAGAACAGACAGAAAGAAAGTAAAGCAATTCAGAGCATAGCAATGAAGATACAAAGCAGAGGTAGAGAAGATATCAATGCAAGGCCAGTAAATCTATAACGCAGAAGCAAGGAAGAGGCAACGCAAACGTAAGTGTAAGCAATACAGAGGGAAAGCAGAGCTATGGAGAAGCAGAGCAGAGCAAAGAAAAGCAAGGCAGGGCAGGGCAGGGCAGGGCAGGGCAAAGCAGGGCAGGGCAAAGCAGGGCAGGGCAGGGCAGGGCAGGGCAGGGCAGGGCAAAGCAGGGCAGGGCAAAGCAGGGCAGGGCAGGGCAGAGCAGGGCAGGGCAGGGCAGGGCAGAGCAGGGCAGGGCAAAGCAGGGCAGGGCAGGGCAGAGCAGGGCAGGGCAAAGCAGGGCAGGGCAGAGCAGGGCAGGGCAGGGCAGGGCAGGGCAGGCTAGGGCAGGGCAAGGCAGGGCAGGGCAGGGCAGGGCAAAGCAGGGCAGGGCAGGGCAGAGGAAAGCAAAGCAGGGCAGGGCAAAGAAGAGCAGGGCAGGGCAGGGCAGGGCAGGGCAGGGCAGGGCAGAGCAGAGCAGAGCAGAGCAGAGAGGAGCAAAGCAAAGCAAAGCAAAGACGCAGCAGAGGCAGCATCACATTGACACAAGCACAAAATAAAAAACACAACACAAAATAATGTTCCGCAATAAATTGTGGTGATCACAAAAGAGAACACTGATTCGCAAATCGGACAAGACAATATCAGCACACAAAACAAAGTACACAGAGCGCTAAGTGCAATGATTCATGGAAAGCTAAAAATGCGAATTGAAAGTTAAAAGTGACGTGAACCTGCCACCTCGCCTTCCGACGGTTTCTCCCCTACTGGTTTCACCCACCTGACTGTGGTATGATGACCTTGTCCACGCCGTGCAGTACGCCGTTGCTGGCTGAGATGTCACCGTCCACGACTTTAGCACCGCCGAAGTAGACGCCATCCCGCTTGCACTTCATCATCATCATGGAGCCGTCGAGTGACTTGACGCCCATAGCGATGACCACGGCGTCCTTGCAGTTGACGCCCTTAATGACGTGTTTCTCCAACACCTCTGGCAACAAGGGGGAGAAGGGGGGTCATTGTTAATATTGAGTGCGTATGGTGTTATGCCGCTTTTACCAATATTCTAGCAATATCACATCAGGTGACACCATAACTGGGCTTCACACGTAATGCCCATGTCGGGAATCGAACCCTAGCATTCGGGTTACCGCGCGAACACTTTAACCACTAGTCTACCCCATGGTTCTTGTTATTGATGGAAATCTCCATGAAACGAGGAAACATATTCACAAATTCGTTAATTTCGTATATTATGTACTTTGTGACGAAACACCAAATATCTTAATGTTAAGATTTACTGTTCATTGATACCATACCTACCACAGTCCAGACAGATAAAAAACCCACAGGAGATCAAATCAGAGGAACTTCCTCATCAACAAATCAAGGGGGGGGGGGGGGGGGGGGGGGGGGCTTTTTAATTCATAGTATACAATTTCTCGAAAACGAATGTAAACGGGTAGTTCTCAATGGGTGTAATAAAAGCCGCGCTTTTACGCGGATACTTACAATCCTGTGGTTTCTTAGCACCCTGGCATCTTCTTTCAGAAGTGTGTACTTTCGGGAAGTGGTATTTGTTTCATGAAGGTTTTCTTTTGTTCAGACCGGAATGTACGAAACAGGGAAATTTACAACCCTTCGGCTGACAACGGGTCTTGTTGCCACCATTACGAATGAAGTGAGGCTGATTCGTTTCAGAAAGCCGACATATAATATGTTTAAATCAAGAAATACTTCAATTTGATTGAGCGAGCTAAAATATCTGATTTTGATGAAATTGAAATGATCCCAAAGACATTGATGCCCGACTGAGTCCAGATCTACGTCCCACCAACCTATCCACCACCCCTGTACGCTTCGTGACCTACTTCTAGCCGTGTCGGTGTCGGTGAGGATGGAGTCCAGCAGTTCGCTGGGGAGCCTGGCGAAGGCCTTGTTGTTGGGGGCCAGGACGGTGTACTCGACGTCCTGACGACGCAGGTCGTTCGCCATCTCCGACGTGAACAACGCAAGCTGGAACTGGGAGTAGTCATCGTCGCTGAAGATCTTCTCGGCCAGGGTACCCTCCGTCTCCAGCGGCTTGAGGACCTGGCGGGGGATCAGTGAGTGAGTGAGTGAGTGAGTGAGTGAGTGAGTGAGTGAGCGAGTGAGTGAGACGCAAGTCGGTATACTAGTATATTAATTGCAGCACCTCGGGCCGCCGTACCAAGAGGAACATATACTCGTACCCTACTATTAACTGTGACCCGTGAAGATTCCGGGGTAGAATAGGTCTTCAGTAACCCATGCTTGCCGTAAAAGGCGACTATGCTTGTCGTTAAAGGCGACTAACGATTCGGGTGGTCAGGCACGCTGACTTGGTTGATACATGTCATCGATCCTAATTGCGTGGATCGATGCTCATGATATTAATCACTGGATTGTCTGGTCCAGACTCGATTATTTACAGACCGCCGTCATATAGCCGGAATATTGCTGAGTGCGGTGTTAAACAACAAACAAACAAACAAACAAAACTATTAACTGTCCACATGCGCTCTCAAACAACATGTCTTCATGCTGACAAGGAATGTGAGAATCTACCCCGACAGGTGGCGCTTTACATGCCTGTACACGTAAGTTAGAACCGCGATCCGATAAGTAGAAGGGGTGGGGGGGGTGTATTCGTTTCACTTCTTATTCAGCAATATTCCGGCCACATAATGACGGTCTGTGTATGTTATCGTATCGTATCTGGACCAGACAAACCAGTGATTGATAGTATGAACAACGTCCCACCCCGATTGGTACGATGACAAGCATAATAAAATGAAAGGGTGTGTGCTGAAATCTGATTGCTTGAAAAACGTTCAGCTCATTCTAAAAAACAAACGTGGTGGTGTCAGGGAAGAACAAGACGTCAGCCATTGTTTGTGATTATCAATAACAGTGAGAAGCCTCACATGATTCTCAAGGAGCACTGAGGTCTTGCTACAGTTGGAGGATGCTGGAATGTATTCATGTGATCCAGTGTCAGTTGCAGCACGTCGGTACACAATCAGTCCATACAATATTAACCGTCGGCGGCTTTGATATCACCACGAGCCATATTGGTATATCCCTTACACCAGCAAGCAAGCATGATAAGACGAATCGTTTATGTCCTAAATAAAGATGGTGAAATCAATATAAACCTCGTGGTGTCTTATCTACGTATCCTGACTTTTTTATACCAGGGTATTCTTGTTTTCTCATAAAAACACAAACAATATGGTTGTTCTCGACGATTTCTACTCAGAAAGGGAGGTAACTCTCGGTGTTATGCCCTGGCACTGGATTATCGAAACGATCTCCTGAAGGCCTACGATTATCGTAAAGCTATCATGCATTGTCGTAACCAATTTTAGAAACTTTCGTTGCCTTAAGATGTCGTAAGAATGTCGTTAGAATGACATAAATCTTAAGATAGCTTCATACCTGTCTCAGGTTTCTACCTCATCTTCATCCAAGATGGCGGCTTATTTAGGCTTTCCATATGTTTGATGATCAAGTGTTAAGAAACCCAAGAAAACATTTATTAATTTCCCAGACAGAACTCGTTGTCTCGATACGCTGGACGAAATGAAGCTTTTCTCACGCTATGGAAAGCACAACCGGGCTAAATTTTATTTACTGAACTGTCATCATTTTTCACTTATCGATAATTATGTACAAATCAGTTGGGTGACAACAATATCTCCCTGTGATATGATCTTTTTTGTTTGTTTGTTTGTTGTTAAGGCCATATTCAGCAATATTCCAGCTATATGACGGCGGTCTGTAAATAATCGAGTCTAGACCAGACAACCCAGTGACTGACATCATGAGCATCGATCCACGTAATTGGAATACGATGACATGTACAACCAAGTCTGACCACCCGATCCCTATAGACGCATCTTACGACAAGCATAGTCGCCTTTTTTACGGGAAGCAGGGGTTAGTAAAGACATATTCTAACAAGGATCTTCGCGGGTCTTTGATATCAACTACCCTGTACAGACTTATCAATAACGTCATCCATCGTGGCTCTCGAGACCCGCCTTCTGTGTAGGTCAAAGTAGACAGACATTCAGACAACGCTGTACATAATAAAAACATACATCCAATAGACGTTCATATATAAAAATCACAATACACACCACTCATATAAGTACCAGGCACGCCAACAGCCGTTTCAGGTCTGCTAAAAGTTTGATCAAAACTAAATCACTATGAAACTAACGTTGCCAATGTCAGATAAATAACACTGTTTCACTAGTCATTCAAACCCTGAAACAAATTAATATATCAAATACAGCCCAAACAAGTCTATAATATTTAGCAAATCTAGATAACTCAAAATAAAGAGTCTCGGGGCTCCTTTTTTTATATTTCATAATTGTTATTCAACAACTGTTTTTATCCGTAAAATATGTTCATATCAGAGGCTACATGTTAGTTCGCTGTTTCACACAAAAAAGTTGATTTGGCTCAGTGTGTGCAAGAGGCCGGGTTTTGATCATCATCCAAGATGAAAATTCGCAAATGTATACAATGTAGTTCCGTACATCTCTGAAGAAAATAATCTGGTCAAGCTGTCTTCCTCGTGTTTAAAATATTTTAAGAACTACTCCCTGAGAACTTATAACATGGAATGTTTCAGACATTTAGACTTGAAAATGTAACACATGTACGCCCAATGTTTATCCGGGCCGCCTAAGTACGCCTGCTAGACAGGACACCCCGCCTCTCGGACAGATACAGTTTGGAAAGTCTGTGTAGGGAACATACCATGATCGTTTATCCAGACATGCATGTCAATCCGGACGATTTCACAGGAACGGATTAACGAGGTGTATATGCTGTACACACGTCCCTTAGACCAAGCCGTTGTTTACTCACGAGTATACGCATGCAGCAATCAGCTTTGTGTAAATCCTTTCAGGACCCGTGAAGATCCGGGGTACAATAGGTCTTCAGCAACCCATGCTTGCCGTAAAAAGCGAATGCTTGTCGTAAGAGGCGACTAACGGGATCGGGTGGTCAGGCTCGCTGACAGGGATGATGCATGTCATCGATATCAACTGCGTGGATTGATGCTCATGAATGATATCAATGACTGGATTGTCTGGTCCAGGCTCGATTATTTACAGACCGTCGTCATATAGCTGGAATATTGCTGAGTGCGGCGTTAAACATCAAACAAACCAAACCAAACCTTTCAAGACTGATTCTCCGATATATCATGTAACCGTCTCTAGAAGTATAAGACCGCCTCCGTGGTCTAGTGGCAGAACGTCCCCCAGGAGAGCGGAAGGCCCGGGGTTCGATTCCCGACCGCGTCGTACAAAAGACGTTTAAAGATGGTACTTGTTACCCTGTCTTGCTCCCTGTATTAAGGGGCTACATAAAGGACTACTCGGCTCGGAGTATACTGTGTCAGAGTGGGGTATTTATGTTAAACTGCGGCATGGTAGCTCAGTGGGCTAGCACTATTAAATCGGCCTTAGTCCGGACAAGTACAAGCAGCCACACACACACCTGCATGTAAGTCGCTATACCTCACCTTGAAGTACGAAGCTACATGTGAGAGGGCTTCGCCGTATGATCAGAAATGCATTATGGCGCCAAATCAACTATTTAAAACAACGTCATTGTTTCGTCTGGGCTTCTGGCAAACATATCAAAGTTGGTCACGATTGTATATGAGATCCAACCTCAGAATAGAAAATAAATAATCCGTGATACATGCATGTGTAACGATGTGATCCCGTTCTATAAACTATCTCCAACTATGTTTGTGTTTAACATTCTTGTGCTTATGATAATGAGGAACGGGATACCAGTGTCGTCACCGAGACGGCGTTGTACATGCAGAGGGTCAGGTATGTGGTAGAGTGTTCATTGTAGCGCGATATGACGCATTTCTATTCCACGGTAAAAAAGAAAAACATCACATTATATTTTTGTTGCATTTTGTTTTTTGCTGAAGGGCTATGGTAATTAGACATTCTTGTTGAAACGTTAGTAGCATAATGCTGAGGTCGTCCGAGTGCAATGGCCGCCATAGTGGACGTGCACGGATTCAATTTTTTCAGTTGTTTTAGTTGGGGATTATTTTTATCTCATCATCATCGGTGGCCTTTGCGTGTGCGTGTTCTCAGCGTCATTGGTTGATTATGTTTTGGTTATTATCTCCCTATACATCATAGAGCACGTGTTTCACGCTGTAGTCGTGTTCCGGTGACTGGCGATGTTGACGGATGTCCATATGCCTCTCAGTGTAACATGTAAGATATAACATGGATGTGAAGTGCTACTATGCTACTCTCATTTACAGCGCAGATATTGACAGCCGCCAAGTTTGGTAGACGGGATGAAAACGTAAATTATATTTATAAACAATAACGTCAGTGGCTTTTGGAACTTCTTTAACGTTTCGTTTCTACCCATGTAACGCAAGTGCTGAGTAGTTTGAATTTCAGTAAATGCAACTCAGCATATCAACAAACTGTGTCCCTCTAAAACCAACTTTCACAATTGCATTCACAACAGTTAAACTTAAGCGGGAAAAGATGCGTCGCTAAACTTGAAAGTACTTTTACCATTCTGACTGACTCATCGCGTGCCTTGATTGCCATCATGTTAGAAGACCATTTCTGGATTACCACTCGTGTATAACGTCTCCCGGTGTTCCAGGAGTATATGTCTTGACCTGCGCCATGTTTCATTGTCTCCGGCGGCCACAGACGTAAAGCCTGGCACCAGCCATGATCTTAAAGCACTTACACACAGTGTTGTTGTTTTCTTTCACCTTCAAAGATGTCTTCATTAAGCACAACTACGGACCGAACATGTCGGTCAAGATATAAATTTGTCGGAGATGATTTTAGCCCTGCTACAGTGTAGGTCCCGCACATCAATATATAGCCCTGTGGGGGCCCGGGAGAGAATGTGTCCCAAAAGGCGACTACATTGGAACCGGTGGAGATTCCGCGTTAGAACTGGTCTCCCGCAACCTAGGTTGGTCAAAAGAGGCGACTAAATGGATCGGGTGGTCCGGCTCGGCGTGGAACATTGCTCATAATAACAATCAATGGATTGTCTGGTCCAGAATCAAATATTACATGCAGCCGTCATATAGCCGGACAATTGCTAAGTGCGGCGCTAAACAACATACACACACTCTTGATATATGAGACCTTTGATCGGCGTGCTCCTGCCCTGACTTACCCCATCGATGACATGGACTATCCCATTGGTGGCAAGTTCATCTGGTCTCTCTATACGGGCGCAGTTCACTGTTGTCACCTGGGGTAAGATAGGTACTTGTAGTATATTACTCCACTGAATACACATGTCAGCAGCTAACGAAACCCATTATAAAAAGGTCTTGCTATGCATGAATCTATATAGACGTAATGGCGTAGTTGTCCCCCGCCGTGATATTGCTGGAATATTGCTAAAAGCGGCGTAAAACCATACTCACTTACTCACTCTTAGATTAACTTACTGTGAGGAGAATACATCATATAACGTGGAACTGGTCAGTTGCAATCAATTACAGGCTGATAGAGCTGAGAAGGGGTGGGTATAGGCTGGTAGAGTGGAGAAGGGGTGGGTATAGGCTGATAGAGCTGAGAAGGGGTGGGTATAGGCTGATAGAGCTGAGAAGGGGTGGGTTTAGGCTGATAGAGCTGAGAAGGGGTGGGTATAGGCTGATAGAGCTGAGAAGGGGTGGGTATAGGCTGGTCGAGAGGAGAAGGGGTGGGTATAGGCTGGTCGAGAGGAGAAGGGGCGGGTATAGGCTGGTAGAGTGGAGAAGGGGCGGGTATAGGCTGGTAGAGTGGAGAAGGGGCGGGTATAGGCTGGTCGAGAGGAGAAGGGGCGGGTATAGGCTGGTAGAGCTGAGAAGGGGTGGGTATAGGCTGGTAGAGTGGAGAAGGGGTGGGTATAGGCTGGTAGAGTGGAGAAGGGGTGGGTATAGGCTGGTAGAGTGGAGAAGGGGTGGGTATAGGCTGGTAGAGCTGAGAAGGGGTGGGTATAGGCTGGTCGAGAGGAGAAGGGGTGGGTATAGGCTGATAGAGATGAGAAGGAGTGGGTATAGGCTGATAGAGATGAGAAGGGGTGGGTATAGGCTGATAGAGCTGAGAAGGGGTGGGTATAGGCTGATAGAGCTGAGAAGGGGCGGGTATAGGCTGGTAGAGCTGAGAAGGGGTGGGTGTAGGCTGATAGAGCTGAGAAGGGGTGGGTATAGGCTGATAGAGCTGAGAAAGGGTGCGTTTAGGCTGGTAGAGCTGAGAAGGGGTGGGTATAGGCTGGTAGAGCTGAGAAGGGGTGGGTATAGGCTGGTAGAGCTGAGAAAGGGTGCGTTTAGGCTGGTGGAGCTGAGAAATGAATGCGTATAGGCTGGTGGAGCTGAGAAGGGAATGGAAGATGGAATCGAATAGGGTGATTTTATCAAATATGTGCTCTGGGGTCTGTAAGAGAGTCTACAGAGAGATCGGTATGGTGCTGACAACCCAAGGATCATAATCTGGCAGAACATGGACCAAAGACAGGATGTTGTGCGACTATCAGATTTCGGCCACCAGCATTGGAAAGTCTTACCCCAAAAGCATATTTGTTGATTCTGATTTTTTCATCTTTGTACAGAGTGCTGTGTTCATAGTCCCCGCGACGCATGTCGCCGATGTTGATGCGGCCGGGCACGACGTGGTACAACAGCGTCGACTCGTCGGCAGAGTTCTTCGGCACCAGACTTTGTCTGTGAATGATACAACACAACTCAACAACCTAACAGACCGTTTTAGACGTCAACAGACGTCGATGACGGCCATTTAAAAAACCCCCGCAAAGTCTTCATACAATATCCAAACATGAACTGCACCCGCTGAGAAACCTGGTATAGGGTACATGACATTGCCTCATCAATTGAGCGAATGTACTTTTACGCCGTTTTCCGCAACATTCCATATATCGCGATGGGGACGTCAACCACTGGAACAGCCCTTACCCCTCAGAATCAAAGGCTGTTGTGATCTATGCTGTGTTTAAAGAACTATTTTATACATTATTCCCCAGACTACCGATGATGATCACAGTTACGGAATCATGTATCCAAGGTACATACTGGAACCATTTGATCACTGAGACCTGTTGAGACTCACTTGGCATCCTGCGGTGCCTCCCTGAACGCCCTGTTGTTGGGGACGAACACGGTATAAGCACCCCCAGTAGACAGCTGGTCGAGCATGTTCGCCTGCCGCGCGTAGTTGTTGAATTCCCTCTGGCCCAGACTGTGGACCGTTTTGACTATATCCTGGACTGGACTCACTGAAAACAGTATACAATCACCGCTACACAACGAGAACAATTAAAACTACACAATGAGAATAATCACAGCTACACAACGAAAATAACCACAGCTACACAACGAGAATAATCACAGCTACACAATGAGAACAATCAAAGCTACACATCGAGAACAATCACAGCTTTACAACGACAACAATCACAGCTACACAATGAGAATAATCACAGCTACACGAGAACAATCACAGCTACACAACGACAACAGTCACAGCTACACAATGAGGACAATCACACCTTCACAACAATCAAAGTTACACGTCCGAAATTACAATCACAGCTACACGCAGAGGACAATCACAGCTACATAGTAATCACAGCTACACACAGAGGACAATCACAGCTACACACAGAGGACAATCACAGCTACACACAGAGGACAATCACAGCTACACGCAGAGGACAGTCACAGCTACATAGCAATCACAGCTACAACTAGAACTACTATGCTGATCGTCAGGACTATCCGGCACACAGATCCATAGAACTTGAGCTAACTCTACAGCTAGGAATAGATTAAAATTGATTCAGTTACACATTATCTACCATATAAACCTAACGTCACAAACTGTTTGCGTGACGTTCTGTTGTGAAAGAGACGAAGAGGACGAGGGTTATCTTCAAAGTATATTCATCTTCTTGAGTTACATACGCAAGTATACACAGTTTAATCATTTAGATAAAACAGCCAAGCTCGCAGTAACCTTGCAGTCTCAGACACGTGAAGATCCGGGGTAGAATAGGTCTTCAGCAACACATGCTTGCCGTAAAGGGCGACTATGCTTGTCGTAAGAGGCGACTAACGGGATCGGGTGGTCAGGCTCGCTGACTTGGTTGATGCATGTCATCGTATCCCAACTGCGTGGACTGATGCTCATGGTGTCAATCACTGGATTGTCTGGTCCACCAGAGTCAGAGGCAGGGACTAGACGGAAAGTGAGTGAGTGAGTGGGTGAGTTTGGTTTAACGCCGCTTTTAACAGTATTCCAGTTAAATCACGGCGTGTCAGCTTAATGTGGGAGGAAAGCCCGAAGTGATGCAGGTCTCAAACGTTTACCACCTTGAAACATAAGGGGCCAATCGGGAATCGAACTCACAATCAAAGGTTTCTGGTGTGCACAAGGGACGCAACTCTTCACAGCTAATTGCTGCGCCTTAGGCGACTGGGCCCCTGACCCGCCTTGGAGGAAAGAGCACATGTTAGTGCATTACGAAAAACACTCCCTCCTAGAGGGGGCGGTCGGGTAGCCTGGTGGTTAAAGCGAACCCGGGTTCGATTCCCAACATGGGCACAATGTGTGAAGCCCATTTCTGGTGTCCCCCGATGTGGTTTTGCTGGAATATTGCTAAAAGCGGTATAAAACCATACTCATTAACTCACCCTCAAAGAGGAAACGCATATGCAGTTTTCAAGAGCTTCATTCTACAACTTTTACAAGGCTTTAAAAGCGATACGTTGAACACGTGAGTTTGGAAGACTACAAAGTGAAAAATAGTTCATTGAACGTTAACGGGGAAGCCTTTGCTTGTAACGTCACTGTCTCAAGCGTGGCGGTTGTAAATCCTAGTACCACCATTGAACCATATCGTGTCTCTCTGCCTGAATCTCACATCACACCTCCTGCCCATGGAACCAAGAAGCCCGTGGATGACACCGTTTGGAATGGCAGCCCATTCTTCCTGAAACGTTTGGCGTATTTGCTGCAAATTCTGTGACCCGGTGTTGTTGAGGTAAACGTCTGACGAGCTCATCCCGTAGGTGCTCAGTTAGGTTGAGATGACGTTGGGGTATAATAACGCCAACGGAGGGCCTTCTTGCTCGGATCCCGGCATCTGGTAAACGGTTACGGACAATCTGAGCAGATATGAGATGTAAACCAGTGTACGTTGCCGTGTCTTGTGTCGAAGGTGAAGGACCCGGATGTTGCCATCCTGGCCTGCTTTGGTGTTGCGGGTTCTCCCTGATCTCTTGTGGTGCCGAGTTGCCGATATCGTGGTGCCGAGTTACCGATATCGTCCTCGGAGTCGGGACAGTATGCTCTGGGCAACGTTGAACTATTTTGCTACTGATGTTTGCGATTCACCAGCTTTATGTCTACCAATGCCTCCACTTCTCGCATTGACACGTGAAGATCCTTGCTAGAATATGTCTTCAGCAACCCATGCTTGCCGTAAGAGGAGACTAACGGGATCGGGTGGTCAGGCTCGCTGATGGATGCTCATGTTGTCAATCACTCGATTGTCTGGTCCAGACTCAATTATTTCCAAGTAACTGGAATATTGCTGAGTGCGGCGTTAAACAACAAACAAACAAACAAAACTTCTCGCATTATTGTTGAGATGATGATTTTCAAAATGAACTTCGTTAACTGAATGATTTGTGCAAACGACATGTGCCGATGAAACCCGAGACAAATTCCATGAGTTGTTCTCAGTTTCCAAAGAAAAAGAATCATGCAAATGTCAAAGGTCAATAATATTAACTCTAAGACAAAGACACTTTATCAGTAAAAAGAACATATAGACTTTATTTTCGCGTAACAGTTCAACAGTTAACATACTGTCACCAGTTACACCCATAGGCGTTTCAATTTTAGACAGACAGTGTATTTTTAAAGGCCATCAGACCCATTGTACAAAATGGTTTACACATACTTTTTCAGAGAGTTATTTCTTAAGGGAAGATACACATGGGATTTATCTTACTGTGATGATATAATTCAGGAACCTGGCAAAGATTAACATGATATTACCATTTGTTGACTGACATAATCTTTGTAATGATATTATAATTATCATTTAGGGTTTGGGAAATTTTCGCTCACTTTCGCACAAATGGTATATAACATGTGTTCAGTTACATTACATTGTTTGTAGTTTGATCATTACAATTTACTAAACCTCTATGAACCAACAGGAGACCAAGGTGCCGCTGTACAAAAACAACCTAACACTACGACTGTCGTAAATCTGTGTTAAGGTATGGGAGTTACGATCACCTTGGCGCTAAGATCGCTTTGTACAACGGCACCCAAGGGTGTTATGAAGGTGTGAGCAGTCGTTTATAATCACAAATGTTTATACTTAAAAGATAATGTTCACAAGTTAAATTAAATTTATGAGACTTATTAAATGTAAGTGATGTGGTATCTTGCGATTCATGCCAATCTTGAAATGCGCAATCATAAACTCTTTCACAAAATTTATAAATAAATAGGGTATCATCCACGTGTGCAAACCAGACGAGGCCGAAGCCATAAAGATATAAATGTTTCAAGTTACATAAAGTTGCCCAATGAGGGCGTTTTCTATCGGCCGTTAACAATAACATTTTGTAACATTTACATATCATATGCGTTAATAGTTTCTATAATTTCACCATTATAAAACCATTTTTCATATTTTGATAATGGACCTCCAATTTTTGAAGACAATAATTTTCCTTTTTTTAAAATATTAATTCCTATACCCCCCAATAGCTGTAGTTCAGCGACACTGTCAAGGACCAAGTCATCAGCGAACAACACTGCTGTAATATTTAACATTTCCCCAGCCATGATATTACCGTCATCAAACTTATTTTCTAATGATATGACAAGTTCATTCATAAATAAAGAAAACAATACAGGACTCAGGATGCAGCCTTGTCTGCCTCCACAGCGGTCAAAATATTCAGTCAACCGATGACCATAATGATCAGTTACTGTTGCTTTACATACTTTTCATAATGTTGAAACAAATTCCACGGATACATTTTGTCAAAAGAATATACATCAACTTGCACACTGAGTGAGTGAGTGAGGTTTTACGCTGCTTTTGGCAATATTCAAGCAATATCACGGCGGGCTTCACCCATAGTACCCATGTGGGGAATCGAACCCGGGTCTTCGGCGTGACGAGCGAATGCTTTAACCACTAGGCTCCAAAACTTGTAATGAAAAAACGTTTCTTTTTCGGAGTGTTTATATCGTAGATGTTTGCGTGTACACATAAAATATTGAACGACAGAGTCATCCAAGACCAGATGTTATCCAATAACCATCAACAGTCTCCAAGAAGGTATGACGTCATCTCCCGCATGTGCCTGACCGATGTTCACGTCTTTGAAATGTAAACCGATATAAGTAAAACACATAAATACCTCACCACAAGCCAAGTACCGACCACATAGGTTACAATGTACATCCGTATATGTATACAGCATCAGGGCAGGCCGACCTTCCCACTAGTATACACGTGATCGACTTCAAATAACTGGTGTGTAATTTATGCTATTATTACATAGGTTCAATGTCCTGTTATCAGAACTCTTGGCAGTTGTCGACCAAACATCAAGACGATTCCGTTACCTGAGAGTCACCGCCCCCCGCGGAGTGTTTACATGTATGTCAGCTGAGTATGTATTTATTATATACTTCAGTTTTCTGAAGTTGAGAAAAGTTATACTTTCACTGCAGTGATCATAACACTTTGACGGAACTATTGTCATACAAGAGTTACTTCCCCTTTAATTGTCTCCCTTGTCGTAAGTGACTAGCCCGTACACAAACTGTTGACGTTCTTTTTACGTTAGTTCCACATTGACAAGGCAAAATAATGACGGATGGTCATTTATGGAGTTAATATCACTTCCGGCCGTTTATTCTTCTCTCGAAAATATTTCGTCATAAACTGTAAATCTCTCATTTGACTCTTAAATCGAGACTGTTTCGTAAAGCGCCATGTTTGTTACTTGACCAGCGTGTATTTCCAGCTTCTCTCAGCGGTCTCCTAGTATACAAGAATATTTTTAGTTGAAGTTGATTTTATATAAAATCATGTCGAAATGTATGATAAAGAATTATCGTGATCCTCAATATTTTTTGATATTTTTATTTATAATTTTTAAGATTTTGCAAACACGAAACTACTTTTTAAGTCGCAAATACAAGGGGTGGTGAACTGCCTCTGTGTGTCAGGTAGGGAGAATTTACGTTTCAAGGTTTTACATTTGTAATGAACCAGTTCAATTTTCCGGTAGACAACGGAACAAAAAGTATATAACAAATAGGATATTCTATGTGTCTCGTGAAATATCATGTTTCTCTCATCTCATGACAGAGGAAAAGGTGATATTTTCACTCGTGGCTGTTTCACGAGACACATGAAATATCGTCTATATATCACCTCTACCGTGATGGCACAGATATGTGGACATTGTCTATATCTGCCTTGTGGACAATATATACATTAACTCATATATTGCAGAAAGTCAAGATAAGACATATTGTCATTTTATTCGATTCACTGAGAAAATGAGTGAACGGGTCGCTTTACAGAAACCAAATAATACATGTGTACCGTATAATGTCCCATCAATCCCTTTTATCAGGTCAAGTTTACAATGTCTGAAGTCTTCATCGACGCAACCCCTGCAAACTCACCCCTCCCTTTTGAAGCGCTTCCCCAACTGTGCATAACCCCTTAGTCTGTCATACAGACCCTGAAACAAATACATGATCCAATACAGCCCACGGAGGTCTGTACTGTTTGGCAAGTCTAGATTACTGCAGTATCTGAAAATGAAGAAAGTCTCTGGCCTCCTTCATATCATATTTTATAACTATAATTCAACAACTGTTTTTTCTGTAAAATATGTTCATTTCAGAGACTAGATGTTAGTTAAACAACCCCTCTGACTAGCTTTCCCAAGGCGCTTTCCATCTTTTACCCCTCAGAAGACATTCCCCTGCTGTACTCACCCCTCTGAAGACATTCCCCTGCTGTACTCACCCTCTGAAGCTATTCCTCCCGCTGTACTCACCCCTTTGAAGCAATTCTCTCCCGATGTAGATTTTTACACTTTTACTAAGCTGGATAGCAGAGTAAGAATCTACATCGAAGCCTTGCTAAATGCAATAAACCAGAAGTTGCTATCTATAAAGATATATGTATTCTTGTTTACTCACCAACTTCTAGAATGCCAATCAATCAGCATCCCCTCGATGTACTTACCCCCCGTGCAGCCTTTCTCCCCCCTGATCTTGTGGTATCCGGAACAGCAATGGAAATTAACAAACCTGAAACAGTAACGTGAACTACGTGAGTTTAAATAACCCAGGTTTGGAGAGTATTTCATTTTCTATGTGTGAGTGAAGGTTGTTTTAAGTCAGCTTTATCACGTATGTCTGTCAATGGTTGAGTCTGGGCCAGGGAAACCATTGGTTGTTAGCATGGACACCGTCAGGGGTCGGTGACACCCACTCAGATAGGACTAGATGACCACCTAAGCCTCGTCAATCGCTGCTAATGACAAGTGTAGTGCATGGAGGACCAGGACCGCCCGGGAATCCCCATAGGAGGTTTACAGGGCTTGTTGTTGGTGGGGTCGATTCTGAGACTCGAACCAATACTTTTATCGGATCTTAACAACTAAGGGACGTAACTCTGCACAGCAATGCACCGTCATCATACGGATATAGATTTCTTGGCAACTGTTTAAAATAAAACCTTTAAGGTAAATTGTTATGTTTATATTTTACGGCTTTTAGAATGTTTAAAGACTGGCTGTGGGTCGGTACACTTTGGGTGGAAGCTGTTGACAGCACGTTGAGCGTGTGCAGTGCTGATTGTGAAGGGCATGCACGGGTCTGCGCGGAGGAGATTAGTGGAGGGACACCGTGACATATTGTCAATGATTTCCTTGTCGTCTTATTTACCCATAACATAAACCTATGTTTTTTTGTCAGACAATAAATGTTTAGAAATATAAATTCACCCAAAAAATGTTTCTTCCCAAATAGCTGTCACTGGCCGAAAATAACGATTACCTATCTATAGTGATAAATCCTCTGCATTTGACTAACACGTGGGAAATATCAACGTATCTAAGACAAATTCACCCGTGAACTGAAAGAACGAGTAAATTCACCCGTCAATGATTGTAAAGGCAATAAAACAATATGTTGATGCTTGAAACAGTCTTACAAGAAAGGCGCAGGTTGAGTTTCCCTTTGGGATGACGGCTAGTTAGAATCTATCAACACAGTAGGGTACTGTAGAAGTCATTAGCCGGTTGCAGTAACGTAATCACAGTTTAATCTCAACCTTTGCCTACCAGAAGTATATCAGTCTCTCGGTCTAAGCGTGCGCGAGAGAAAACAATTGGCAGGGCACTTGCAATCACTGAACGGAGGCACGTGACAGACTAGGCTCCCGTCTGTGATCCATCGTGTGCGTTGCATATCAGCTGGAGAGCCAGTTTAAGCACGTGTGCCATTGCACAACGTGAGATATGGCCGCTGTTCATGATTCGGGGCCAGGCTATAGGCAGGTGTCAGAACAGTGAGAGGATTCCTCAGTAAGACCAAGTCAACACAAAGGGCGGATGCAGAATGGGTGTTATTCTATTCTCATAGTCGTTAAACAGGAGCAAATAATATCTCTACTCCAGCCGCCAGTCTAGGAATGGCCGGCTCGGTGGTTCACGTGCGGAGTATTCCAGTGTGAGAGGCGGCATTTCACATATTTGGTTAACTTGTGCAGTATTTCACACATATTTGCAAGAAGAAAGAATATTTTGGCAATTCAATTATGTTAGCTGCATTTGCCATAAATAGATCATACGTCGGCTGAAATGTAACCTAACATGTGGCCATGTACTTTTAAGGTTCAATATCCCCCGCCTCGAAGTGGAAGGGAGGTATAGAAATGGGTGCTTAGACTGAAAATGGTGGTAGAGCTCCTTTCCGGAGCAGATCTTGAAAACCTTACAATATTTCTTCACCAAACTTGGCACATAGATAGGTCTAGTGGTAAACTGGTAGTTTTGGAGTTTCCATAGCAACCGGACATGTCATTGGCGGGGAAAAGAGTATTACATGCTTGTTGCGATTTAAAGTGTAGTTTAACACATATGAGTGCCTTTCCCTCTGTATCACTGTGTACGTACGTGGGACGCTCGCATATCATCCTCATGGCCTTGCCTCCGAAACAGCTGGTGAAGTACTTGTTCCCGGTCCCATAGGCCTGCTGGACTACACACACGTTGGGCCTGCGGGGAAAACATGCGTTAATACAACAGTCGCGTATTGAATATAGTATACATTTGTACAACGCCGTAGAGAGTGTTTGTTTGTTTATTTGTTTGTGTTTAACGCCGCACTCGGCAATATTCCAGCTATATATCTGTCAATAATCGAGTCTGGACCAGACAATCCAGTGATTGATCTCATGAGCCAGACCACCCGATCCCGTGAGTCGCCTCTTAAGACAAGCATGGGTTGCTGGAGACCGAGTCTAACCCGGATGTTCTCGGATCCTGTAGAGGGTGTAACTTATGTGGAAGCCAGTACTAAAGTGAAGCAGGCTGTCGACCTTAACCACTTGAGCCTATGGTGCTGAATAACCAGGGATCATAATCAGGGTGAAACTGGGATTCAAAGCCAAGATCAGCGGATCCTGACACCATATCATGACGTAACGATTTGCAGCGCATTGGACGACGGGGCCACCCGTTAAGCTGTATGACATAACTAAAGAGCCTCGAACGCCACGACATATTGGCTTGGTGGTATCTCCAACCACTGGGGGCGGTCGGGTAGCCTAGTGGTTAAAGCGTTCGCTCGTCACGCCGAAGACCCGGGTTCGATTCCCGAGATGGGCACAATGTGTGAAGCCCATTTCTGTCCCCCGCCGTGATATTGCTGGAATATTGCTAAAAGCGGCATAAAACCATATTCACTCACTCCAACCACTGTCTCCCTGCCACACTCAGATTAATGCATTAATGGTTACACGACATGATGTTACGGTAAATAGTTCGCTGTAGTGTCGGTTTCATGTTGTACTGCCGTGAAATGTATCGGCTCTAATTAACCACACAAAACAAAGCAGCGGGTACGAGATTCCAGCGTAGCCACCTGTGAACAAACTCCAGGCAGTTGGCGGTGATGACGGTCAGGTTTATTTACACATGTATCTAACTGATAGAAAACATGTGCTACCGACGGAAACAATAAACCCTAACACAACAGCGGAGGGGAGGGACGGGAGGATACCGCCTCCCCCTCTAACCTGACGCTACAGAGGCTGGATGGGCACCAGGCCGTGGGATGTAGCGGAGAGGGGATGCTAGCTAGAGGAAGAGGCTCTTGATGAATGAGGAAGGTTTTATATCAGAATTAAGTCCTGTTCAGGTAATTTGTTAGCAGTGCTGGAAAAGCCGATGCACTGTGAGAACTGTCATGCAGAGGGGGGTGCTTTCCCTCATTTGAAGATAATGGCTGTAACATTTCCCCCAAACGCAGCGTAATGTGGAAAGGTTACATCTTATTGTGAGTGCAGGGTAGATTTAAAGTATCTCCTCACTTGAGTGAGCGTTGTTATACGCCGTTTCTATCAATATTCCAGCACTATCACAGTGGGGGAAACCAGAAATGGGCTTGACACGCTTCATTTGAGTGAGTGAGTGAGTTTGGGTTAGCCATATTCCAGCAATATCACGGAGGGGGACACCCCAAAAACGGGCGGGGAGGTCAGGCGAGTGGGAGAAAGAATGTCTCATACTGCAGCATTAGCAGCCAATTTTGATTTTAACATTCAAACAATGTTTGGTTGTTCACCTTTAAATTAAACTGTTTGGTAAACACGTAAAGACCGCCTGCATGTCAATTTCTACAAATTGCTTCGCCAAATGTCTGGGGTTACGTAATTTGCAGGTAATTGGTCTTTGTGTGGGTATGTTGGTATGTTAGCCTGTTCTCCCTCCGCCAGGGCCTAAATGTCAACGCTCTCATCACACATCGACGATACGTGAGAATGTCACGCTACCCCCATCTCCCTCCCTCACGCCACCACCCCGGGGATGGCACACACAGACGGGTTGTCTCGAGTCGAATATCTCAATAATGTCAGTCGGAAAACCTCGACAGGATGCGGAAGTACTACACCTGTGCATCCTCCGATAATACAATTTGCCATTTAACTCCAGAAACTGCTGACTGTGCAAATATGCGCTTTGATATTCGAGATCTCAGTTAGAACCTCTATGATCCAAACCGAGCAGTGGTTGCCTTTAGCGCTAATGTATTTCTAGGAACAATACTATATTATTTGTTTGTTGTTTAACGCCGCACTCTACTCAGCAATATTGTCCAGCTATATGACGGCGGTCTGTAAATAATCGAGCCTGGACCAGACAATCAAGTGATTGACATCATGAGCATCGATCTACGCAATTAAGATACGATGACATGCATCAAACAAGTCAGAGAGCCTGACCACCTGATCCTCTTACGACAAGCATGGTCGCTTTTTACGGCAAGCATGGGTTGCTGAAGACCTATTCTATCCCAGACCTTCACGGGTGATATCTCTGAAACCGTGTTCTTGTTCGTTTAATGTTCATATACATGACCTGATGTACAAAAGCGTGTCACGGTATCTGTAGCTCGACTCGAGGGTACCCGGTATCTTTGGATCGACCCGTGAGTACCCGACATTAATAGAGGTACCCGGTATCTTTGCATCGACCGGTGAATATCTCTGGAGGGGTACATGGTACCTGGTATCTATGGAGGGATACATGGTACCTGGTATCTATGGAGGGATACATGGTACCGAATATGTATGGCGAGGTACAGGGTACCTGGTATCTATGGAGGGTACATGGTATGTGTTATCTATGGAGGATACATGGTACCTGGCATCTATAGCGAGGTACATAGTACCTGATATATAGTGAGGGTACAGAGTACCTAATATGTATGGCGAGGTACAGGATACCTGGTATCTATGGAGGGACCCAGGATGCACCTACCCTTCAGCGTATTTCTTGAGGTATGCCGGTACAGGGTACCCGGTAGTATGGAGGGACCCAGGATGCACCTACCCTTCAGCGTATCTCTTGAGGTATGCCGGTACAGGGTACCCGGTAGTATGGAGGGACCCAGGACGCACCTACCCTTCAGCGTATCTCTTGAGGTATGCCGGTACAGGGTACCCGGTAGTATGGAGGGACCCAGGATGCACCTACCCTTCAGCCTATCTCTTGAGGTATGCCGGTACAGGGTACCCGGTAGTATGGAGGGACCTAGGATGCACCTACCCTTCAGCGTATCTCTTGAGGTATGCCGGCAGTCGATGTCTTGCTCCGTTCACCAAACTCAGCACCCCAAGGATGACGTATACCAGGTGCTTCATCCTCTCGAAAACAGCCCTGAAACAACAACCGTGGTCACTGTCACCCAGGTAATGAACACGTTGACACCGACTGATTCTTTTCTGCATGGCTTGTGTGATCACATGACGGGCAGAACCATGTCGTGGGCCCCATCAATGCCTGTAGATTGGGTTCGTCGCAAGATTTCAATTGTTTTGTTTGGTGTGGTTTGCTAGTCGGCGGTGGGAAGCCTATTGTTTTAAGTATTCGCTTGTCATGGAGAAGATTTTTATTCCCGACAATGGTACATTGTGTCGGGGGCATTATTTGCGTTCCCTATCGTGATATTGCGAGACTGGAGTTATTTAAAAAACGGCTTTTATCACACTTACTCACAATCGCAAAAAAAAATCAGCAAACGGCATGACTCGCAGCAGGGCAACTGATGGGCTGCCACGGAACCAGTGCTACAGGCGTACATACCTGATCAACAAACACGTCACTAAATACCCACCTCACCTGGTTCAGACCCTGCACAATAGACACAGCATTACCCACTGGGACGCCATGCCCTTCTTCATCGTTTCAAGGTCAGATGACGTCTTTGCCCTCGGGCAAGATGGGGCCCCAAAATGGGGATTTAATAAGTCGGATACCTTGATAAATAAAACAGTGATGTGCGTGTCTCTGGCCCTCCATTGATAAAGTGACGCAGTTTTATCTGGAAACACTGGACATGGTTGTCACGTCAGGTTCACTGAGAACATGATTGGTTGTGTCGTTTGTATTCATCCACCAGTGTGTTTTGATCGTTACAAAGGTTGGGCCCCTGGCGCATGTTAAGCTCGGTGTCTGTACTGGCCGGTGACGCATTAATTTCGTGAATTACAGAATATACACACCGATTGTAACCGTATTGGTTATGGTGGATGCGTGAGTGAGAGATTTTCGCTGTGATTTTCGCCATGACAGAGATGAACATTGCTGGAAATCAGCGCCCAACTCTCTGCTCCTTGTGAACACCTGACACCTGCATCACTTGGGGCTTTCCTCCCACACCACGATGACACGCCGTGATATAACTGGAATATTGCTCACAGCGGCGTTACACTCACTTGCTAACCCGCTCGCTCACTCACTCACTCAACTAGAAATATACCAATAATGTTTAAACTACCGAGAAAAGTAAACATTAAATAAAAGTTTGCGGCGTTTCAGCGACTGTTTACAGCCTAGTAACGATTTGATAAGTTTGTATTGTTTGTGTCACACCCAATGACACACAGGCGGTACAGCAGTATCAGGTGAGGTGAAATGGGGTTTATCCACTGGACCACACAGGGATACAGGAGTATCAGATGAGGTGCGGTGGGATGAAATGGGGTTTATCCACTAGATCACACAGGCGCTACAGCAGTATCAGCAATGGATAGCACATCATCGGCGTATAATAATTTTATGCTGTTTAATAATTTATGGTTCACAGAGTTTCTGTTTGCCATTAGGTTTGGGAAAGTCGAAATAAGAATGAGAATAATTTAAGATAAATTTTCTTTATTTTCACATAAAGTTGATCGGGTCGATGGGTTTCGTGCTCTAAAACCACGTGTAACACCAAGTCACGGTACACATTCATGATATGTTAATTAAAGACGACAATGCCTTAGAAGTATTCGTTCGTATCTTTGTCATAAGAAAGAGAACTCGCCCTTGGATAATATAACCAACAAGAACCTACACCGACAAATCACTGTTAGATCAGGTCTTGATCATCATCTCAACCTCGTTGTTTTTAATCATGTCTCCATACGAACAAAGAATACACGTGTTGATTTACTCAAGTAGGGATGGTTTATTGTTCTAATCAGCAGGATAAGATTCGCAGCATTCCTGAGGTTGGAAGAAAACCGCCCGTTCTTGGGTCACCCTCCTCATCAGAGCCCCCGCGAACATCAAGATCACTACACCGCTACTGAAATCCAAATAAACCTTGCGGCAGAGATATATTGGGTCTCTAAACCCTGGCAGGGATCAACGCCGATTTCAGGTTCTGGCGCATGCCGAGGTGTCTGATTTTGGCGGGAACAGGTATGACACCATTTCCCGCAATTATTATCCATCATGGGTGCAAGGCTGACGAGTGATGCGGCAGAAGCTCCTGGATGTACAGGGACGCTGTTGACGCATGGGAAACAGGAACCCCGTGTTATGCATTGGAAGGCACAGAGATGAAGGGACTCAAGGGAAGATGCAAGTCACGGGGTGGGGGTAATGAGAAACGCACCATCTCGGACTGAAGGACCAGCACATGATAGTCTGTGATTGGCTTGGCAGTCGGAGGTTGACGTGCTCTTTCAGCGTCTTCATCAGTCAGGTTATATCTGTAAACTAATGACGTATTATGAAGTCTCTTCCTCTCACTGATCGTCACTTCGTTCAGTGGCACATGTTTTAAGTTACTTTTACCGGTTTCACGGACCTATACACAAGTCCATGAGGGTTTCTCTATCCCAGTACAGTAAGGGCAAGGTACAGGCTCAGACACAGGGACCAGGAACAGACCCGTCTAGGTCACTGGAAGTCGGAGTCAGGAATAGACCTATCTAGGTCACTGAATTACCCCCAGAGTCACAAATACCCCATCTCGGTTTTCTGAAAGCGTAATCAGGAATACCCCCGTCACGATCGATTTCCGCTCTCGGTGACATCTCCATGAATCAACTTTTTCTGATACTGACGAACAACTATTTTTTGTTTCCGGTGGATCTGATTACAGTTTGAGTTATTGCCTACATAAGATGAAGAAGTGGGATGACTAGTTGGTATCGGCGGAGAGAAGTGGCCTGGGCTCCGTGACAAACACGCTGATATCCTCAGGAATGAAGTTCCAGATCGCTGAGTGGCTGATACCACTACTCTTTTTCGGGATCACAGATAGTTTCTCCAATTCCTTTTCGCCAATGCAGACATGGTCTCTGGCCAATGCGAGCGTCACATATCTCTAACTCTTATAAGAACGGATGCTCGTATTGTCTTCTGGGCTTTTTCACCTACTCAACAAACAACCATCACTGTGTCGAGTAGACGCGAGAGTCCGACAAGGGGAGACTACTCTGTCAATGGTATATGGTGATCCAAGGAAGGGGAAGACTCGTTGTTTCAACTGCTTTCTCTCTCAGTTATTCTTTGCAGGGAAATTAGGAATAGGTCCACAGCAACCTATTCCTGTCCTACGAAGGGGTAAGAGGCGACTATCGAGATCGGGTGGTCAGGCTCGCTGATGCATGTCATCGTATCCCAATTGCGTTGATCGATGCTCATGATATCAATCACTGGACTGTCTAAAAGCCTCAGTTATTTACACACCGCCGTCGTATAGCTGGAATATTGATGAGTGCGGCGTTTAACAACAAACAAAGCCACCTACGACTTGTTGGATGGGTGGTCAGGTCCGGTGACGTGCGTTCGTTTGGGTTGTCTTTGGGCGTTGCTCATAATATCAATCACTGGTATGTCTGGTGCAACTCGATTATTTACAGGCCGTTGTCATATGGTTTGAATTTTATTGAGTGTGGAGCCCTCAAAGATATACATATTCTCTTAGACGAACCCTCTCCAACATATTCACAACACAAGTCAGGTATTTCCCTTACACAATGAAACAAATGTGGTCTGCACCTACCAGCCTCACAAAATTATAGATAAATACAATTATTAAAAATAAAATTAAAAAATTGTCTTTGAAGCACGTTCGTGTTTCTGTAGCAGTCTAACCTGTCTGCATTATTCTGTGGGTCTCTCGTTACAAAGGAGGGGTGTTCATGTTTGACATTAGCAGGAGCGTGACGTCACCCGCAGCTTGTTCGCGTGATGAAGAGGGTGTTACTCCATCAGACGCTTCCCCCGAACCTCCCACTTGACATTCTAGTCCGTGTCTGATAAAAGTACGGAATACACGTTTTTTCACACAATTTGAGGAAATCAAGGTCGCCTGTCGACTCCCAGTTCGCGCACAGATTTCAAATTTCAGCCACAAAAGAAAAAAAGACAAAGTGTGAATCACTGTGTAGCCTTGCGAGCCAATTATGTGGCGCTGAAACACAATATTGTGGCCACTTACCCATGTACATGACAGCGGAGTGATTGCAGGATAAGTTGAGGAAATGATTGTGGGCATTTTCTATGGGCGAGGTCAGTGCGGGGCGAGTTGAGCATATTAGAGGAAGTTGAAATTGTAGTAACGATGGTGGGAACATTTTAAAAAAGAAAAAAGTTTCAGAATAGTTTAGTAATTAACATATATACTGATTTGTTGTATGTTGAAATAATGCCAAACAAATATACTACTTTTTTAATGCATACTACTTTTTAAATAATACATACTACAGTAAAAGTCAAAGTGTTTTATTGTATGTCGGGCCTTCGGCACATATACAACGTTTAAGTTCATTTACTGGAATACACATTTTTAATATCCCCTGTTCCTAAACGACATATTATATAGGAGAGTTGAGTAGTGACACATGCGTTTGCGGTAACATCTAGTCTCTTAAATGAACATATTTGACAGAAAAATAGTTGTTAAATTATCTTAATAAAAGATAATAAAAAGGAGCCCAAAGACTCTCTTTATACTGCAGTAATGTAGACTTGCCCACTATTATAGACTTGCATGGGCTATATTGGACATATTTGTTTCAGGGTCTGTATGACAGTCTATAACACGGCTCCAACAGATGCTGGTACCTCTATCAAGGAAGTGTCACATGCTTGATGAAGAGACCAGCATCTTTACCCAAACGTTACATTGAAAGGACAAAGAAGTTGAAATCCGTGTCAACTCTTCGGCGAACTGTCGTGTTAATTATGTTTGTTAAATATCTTCCGGTTTCTGGTAAAGATCTATTGACTCCATACGTATCACATCTTGGACAACTGTCTACAACGTTACTCCATTCTTGACTTCATAACTCAATTAGCCTTTCTCGGAATTCAGTTACAAAATTATTTGCAAACACCTTGACATAACCAAATCTATCTAAATCCATTAAGAGGCG